TGAGCGATACTTCCCGCTTCGCTCCAAGCCTCGGCATATCGTTCACATGTAGTTGTATACTCCCGTTCTATGCACAACCCTGTTAATCCTCCTGCTTCTATATTCACATGTATACAGGTACCTGCACTAACTATATATATGTATATATATATATATATATATTTTTTTATTTATATCTGTTATGCGAGCATGTACGGACTATACAGGTGCATAGACATATATATATATATATATATATATATATATATATATATATATATATATATGGTCGCCCCCCCGTTGACAGACCATGCCCTTTCAAGTGAGTCGTAGCGCCTGGTCTGTCATCGGATGGGTGACAATCAGCCCTCCCGAAATCAATTCAGAAATGTCCAAAATTCTTGCCGCTAACTTTCAGTTTTCCACAATTTCGAGGATTCCAGCAATTCCAAGATTTCCAAAAAGTTCGTCCTTATGGCTTGAACAAATCCTATCCACTAGGTCTGGTGATTTTGGAAATTTTGGAAACTTCGCAAATCTTCCAAAAACTCAAAATTCTCCAAAATGTCCGAAATTTCCAAAATTTCCAAAATTACAAAAAAAAAACTTCCAAAATTTCCAAAAATTCCAAAATCTCCAAAATTTCCGAACTTTCCAACAGGTTCGCCCTTATGTGTTGGACAAATCCTGTTCACTAGGTCTGGGGATTTTTGAAATTTTGGAGATTTCGGAATTTTGGAAACTTTGGAAATTTTTGAAATTTCGGAAATTCTGGAAATTTTGGATGTTTCGGAAATTTTGGAACTTTTGGAATTGATTTTCAGGAGGCGGGGGTCTGGGTGGACATTTGTTCAGTTTTTGTAGGGAGAACCAGAAACACATTTTCTTTCTAGTGCTCCATGTTTCAGATCCCTTCATGCCTTGAAGGAAACCCTCGAAGGAGACCCCGTAAAGGAGCCTTTGGAGGAACCCTTCAAGTAGCTTGCCGTGTCTTTGAATTTAAGAGTTCGGACTCAGGTCCTCAGCTTCAGGAAAGTGGCTTGATGAGGGTTTCAAGCGGGTTCCCTGCAGTGAAGGCCGTGGGCTCAGGGGTTGGGTTCAATTTAATGGGTTTCAGGATTTAGGGTTTAGTTTTTTTTTGGCTCCTTTTTGGGTCCGCACGAAGTGTACCGAAAGCCTATTCAGGGCTTAAGGTTTAGGGATGAGGATTTAAAACCAAGCTGCCCAGAAGCCTCAGGGTTGCCGGGTCTACGTTTGAGGGGCTGATACCTTCGTAACCCTAAAGATGCCTGGCAGGTCGACGGCACTAAGGACCCCACGTGCATCTGCTGCTCCTGACAAGAAACGCAGAGAGCTTTCGTAGGAGTTAGGGGTGTCAGCGTCTAGCGTCTGCCTGAAGGTTCGCCAGAGTGTGTGACAGACCATGCACTACGACTCACTTGCGAAGGCAAGGTCTGTTTAGACGAATATCAGTATTTGTATATATATATGTATATATGTATATATGTATATATGTATATATGTATATATGTATATTCTTCATTGGTACTCCTACGAATACTATTACAAATACGAATACTGACATTGATCACTTGCTGACTGCCCAAGCTAATACCAGCATTAATACTAATATTTACACTGTTATAAAGCCAATACGAATAGGCACCATACAAATACTAATAATGATTATTACTGACGTTAAATAATGTATTTTAACACCAATACTAATACACACCTGCATGTACCAATGTACATAAATATACATACCACTATATTAAAGTACAAATACATTAACTCATTCATGCATTTATCTGTTGGTATTTTCATGTAATCAAGAGTAATACTAATATGAGACGAACGTTCCTGCGAATACATATCCTCATTCTAATATTAGCACTAGTGCTAGCACTATTACTAATACCAACCACACTGTTTATACCAACACCAAGATTTACATAAGTATTGATACTCCTACGGAAACTAATGCGCATACTCTTGTGCTGTTAACAGTAATGCTGTCACCAATACTGATACTGACATTGATTACTTATTGAATATTCTAGATCATGCCATCATTAATACCATTATTAACACTTTTGCTAAGGCTAATGCGACTATGGACAATCCTAACATGAATGTTAACATTAGTACTCCTGCGAATACCAATAGTCATATTCATATTGAAATGAAGACTAGTACGATACTAAACAAGTGCATATACTAACGCACACCAAAACACATACCTTTATCTCAAAATGCCGATATGTATTAATGCACTCATTAACTGATGTTTTCGGATAAGCATATACCCACATACCAACGTAACAATACACTACTTGTTAATGCCTGAGTATACTATACTAGTATGCTACTATACTAGTATACGACTACTGTAATATGCAAGTATACCAACATGGCAGGTTAGCATACGAGTATGACAACATACTGATAAACTTATAAATGATTAGACAATACACGTATTTATCATATACTAGTATACTAACATACTAATGTACGAATATACTGGTATGTTAATATACTAACAGATTAATACACCAATATACTAGCTTACTCATGCATCAGTTGTACTAAAGTATAAATCCACGAATATACAAGTATACAATATGTTGCTGCTCGAACACATTAATGTATTGATATACTAATGTGCTGATATACGAAACTATCAGAATAATAACATATCAAAAACTAATTCTACCTTTGATACTAGTACTAGCACTTCTGCCATTATTAACTGATATTAAACCCAGCATGAAGACTGATACTAATACTAGCAGTGGTACTATTACTGGCATTGACACTGGCACTAACACTAAGACTAACACGAAGATGAGCACTAACATTGATGTATACTGACTAATATCGAATATATACAAAACTATACGTACAGTAAACACAAATACAATTACTGATACTAATACTAATACCAGTACTAATCCTCATACTCATCCTAATATCAATGCTACCACAACACTATTCACTCACGTGTCGCGCATCTGGTCCATGCGTCCTCAGTACATGGCATGTTAAAAGTATACGTGGTATATGTACTGTAAAGGTTCCTCACCACCCCCACCACCTCCACCACTGCCACCACCCCCAGTCTTTTGTCAGGTGAGTTATAACCGCTGTGTTTGTAGGTGTTTAAAGAGTATTTAAAGGCTGCCAATGTGTGCCCGGACCCCTCCGCGTCCACACCGCCCCTACCGCCACCGCCGCCCTCACCACCCCCTGCCCTCACTGCCCTCACCTGCCTTTGTAGCACCACCCCCACCGCCCCCACCGCCCCGCCACCCTCACCACCCCCACCGCCCTCACTGCCCTCACCTGCCTTTGCAGCACCACCCCCACTGCCCCCCACCGCCCTCACCACCTCCACCACCGCTCTGTTGAAAGAGTTTTCACCGCTGTATTTGTAGTTGTTTTTTTTAATATTCCTCCACTGTGCCCGGACCGCTCTCATTGCCCCCACCGCTTCCGCCGCCCTCACAGCTCTCACCGCCCTCACCACCCCCACCACCTCCACCACTGCCACCACCCCCAGTGTTCTGTCAGGGGAGTTATAACCGCTGTGTTTGTAGGTATTTTAAGAGTATTTAAAGGCTGCCAATGTGTGCTCACCTACCACACCACCCTCACCGCCCTCACCACCCCACCACCCCCAGCCACCGCCCCTGCCACCACCTCCACTGTGCCCACACCGCTCTCATTACCCCCACCGCTTCCGCCGCCCTCACAGCTCTCACCGCCCTCACCACCCCCACCCCCACTGTTCTGTCAGGGGAAAAGAGTATTTAAAGGCTGCCAATGTGTCCCACCGCCCTCACCACCTCCACCACCGCTCTGTTGAAAGAGTTTTCACCGCTGTATTTGTAGTTGTTTTTTTAAATATTCCTCCACTGTGCCCGGACCGCTCTCGACCGCTCTCATTGCCCCCACCGCTTCCGCCGCCCTCACAGCTCTCACCGCCCTCACCACCCCCACCACCTCCACCACTGCCACCACCCCCAGTGTTCTGTCAGGGGAGTTATAACCGCTGTGTTTGTAGGTATTTTAAGAGTATTTAAAGGCTGCCAATGTGTGCTCACCTACCACACCACCCTCACCGCCCTCACCACCCCACCACCCCCAGCCACCGCCCCTGCCACCACCTCCACTGTGCCCACACCGCTCTCATTACCCCCACCGCTTCCGCCGCCCTCACAGCTCTCACCGCCCTCACCAACCCCACCCCCACTGTTCTGTCAGGGGAGTTAACCGCTGTGTTTGTAGGTGTTTAAAGAATATTTAAAGGTGTGCCCGGACCCCCCCGCGCCCACACCGCCCCCACCGCCCTCACCGCCCACACCGCCCTCACCACCTTCATCCACCTCCACCGCTTTCACCGTTCCCACCGTCTCCACCGCTCTCACCGCCCGCTGTATTTGTAGGTGTTTAAAGAGTATTTAAAGGCTGCCAATGTGTGGCCGGACCGCCCCCACCGCCCCACCGCCCACACCGCCCTCACCGCCCTCACCACGGGTGAGGGAAAAGTCGCGGAACCAAAGTCGGAAACAAGGAGGCACGAGTCGGGAAACAAAGCGGCAGGAGTCGGGAACAAGGGGCGCAGCAGTCGGGAAGGTGAAGAGGCAGGAGTCGGGAAACATGCGGGGAAAAAAGGAACGCATGAGCGGCACCATGAGCATCCGGCACCTGATTCGTACTACTCCTACTACTACTACTACTACTACTACTACTGCTGCTGCTGCTACTACTACTACTACTACTACTGCTGCTACTACTACTACTACTACTACTACTAATACTACTCATACTACTCATACTACTCATACTACTCATACTGCGTACACTGCTATACTACTCATCTACTCATAATACTACTAATACTACTTATACTACAAATGCTAATGCTAACTATAACTAATACCAATACCAATACGGATACTAATACTAATGTAGGTATGGTACCTACCAAAAGGTTCATGGGACTTAGTAAGTAAGGTTATAAGCACGTTAGCTGCGGTTATAGTTATAGTTGATAAGTATATTTGCCGCCCTATTTTTAAGTCCCATGAACCTCCAAGTACCTAGCAAATATGCAAGCCTGAATGATCGGGATGAGAGCGGTGGCGGCAGCTGCCTGCCAAAAATTTCCGAAGCTCTCTGCAGGGCTTCGGGGATTAGGGTGTTCTAGAGGGTTCTCGGGTTCAGGCTGTTTAGGTTTTCAGGATGTGGGGCTTGAGGTTTTCGGGTATTAGCGATATGGGACTTTAAGGATTTAGGGTGTTGGATTTGGGGTTTGCGGCTTGTGTGCTTGGGTTTCGGGTTTTTGGTGGCTTTGCTTGGATTAGGCTCTACGACGCAAATCTAATCATTCCGTAAACCCCTGAAACAGCAACACCCCTCAAATCTAGAAACAAGGGATTCCTTGTCTGGCCCCTTTGCTCCTCTACTTCGTTGATACAGGGAACCTCCCAGCAACACAGAAAACAAGGCAAGTTTAGGGCCTACCTTTCGACTGACTTATGAGCCCTAAGAAGGTAAGTGATTTGGGGTCGAGTATTTATGGGAGTTTCCAAAAACAGGAGCCCCGAAAACAAATCCCAAATTGCAGGATCTCTTGTGTATGTTTATTCCCTAAACGGCACCTATACTACCAAGAACCCCAGGTTCGTCGTTTGGCGATGTATTCTGGCGAAGTAAAGATTTGGTTAGGTAGCAACCCTAGAATCTAAAGCCAAAAACCTACACCCCGAACCCCAAGCCCCAAGCTTCAGGATTTTCCGAACCCCTCAACCCGACTCAACCCTAAGCCTCAAAACACGGAACCGTGAAAATGGAGCTTCGAAATTTACGCCTCGGTTTGGATTCTTAAAGTTTTAGGATTCAAGAAATCAACCCATGTATCGGGCTTTTCGGGAGTTCAAGGCTCCGCGGCTTCGGGTATACTAGTGCTTCGGGTTTAAGGTCCCTGGGTATCGGGATTGCTGTTGCTGGTGATTCATCTGTTGCTACTCATATACACACCTGATGAAGGATTAACAAGCAGAATAAGGAACCTACACAAAGGGAATGCTTCTGCTGCAACTGATCTACTACTGGCATGGTAAGTAATTGCGGTTGTGAAATTTGCGCTTGCATGCGTTTCCCTACTACTGTGTGCAAATGGTGTGATCACTTGATACTGATCACGCTGCCGTCATGGTTGTGATGCTCGTTATGAGTGTTCTTTCAGCAATGAAATTCCAAAAAAGAAAACCGCTCGACAAGGATCTGAAAACTCTAAACCTTCTACCGAAAGCCTACGCGCAGTACCGCCACCACAATTAGCTCGCCTCGGTTGTCTCTGCTTGTTCCTCGCCCTCCTCCGCGGCAGCATTCAAGTCCAAGGGCAACGGCGGGGCCTCGACATGAAGGATGAGACGGCCTTTCGGTTTCAGGGTACTTATAACCCCCAAAATAAGGTACTTACAACGGTACTTACAAAGTCCAATGAATCACCAAGTACCCTTACATCATAATTTTGACCCACTAGACCTTTCTTGTTTTCAGACGTCTTGCGGAGCGTAGGGCAGTATGGAAGACTGCGATGTACGTGGCCAGGCCAGCAGAGTATTTTAGACCCCGTTTTGACATTATACTACTTGAAGTTTCAGGAAGTACGGTTATAAGTACGTTAAATGTGTTATAAATGACCATAAGTTATTTTACTTATTACCCTAGTCCCAAGTCCCATGAACCTTTAAGTACTCTCATGTTGGGGAGGAGCAGCCGGTTGGTCGTGTTTGTTAAGATTCAATGGGGGAAGGGGGGCCTTGTGTTCGACGAAACAAGGAGTAGGTCAAATTTCGTCCTTCCGCAGTACGTGTAGTACCAATATAGAAGCCCGGTAAGGAACAAGCGTAGATCCCTTTAAGGAGACTTTTAAACTACTAAATCGCATGGGCCTGCAAGTGTATTGTTTATTGTGGGACCCTCTAAACAAAACATCCCTGAACACCCGACTACACCTGAAGGTTCATTTTCTAAGATTCTAAGACCTGTTTACATATTTAGGATTTCGGGTTAAAGGGTTACTATTATAGGGTTCCTTCCAAATCGATCTATAAAGGGTTCTGTATAGGGTTCCATGAGGGTTCTATAGTGGTGCTGGGAGGCTCATGGGGCTCACTAAATAAAGCTACAAATACCTGACTTGGGGTTATAAGTACTTGGCAGTATAGTTGCCACATGTTTGACCGCAGCTTTTTAAGCTCCATGGACCGTTAAACAACATCCCATCGACACTTGATAGTCCGAACACCTGTAGGCCCATGTGCAGCCGTTTCGTCCCGAGCTCGGACTCTGCTAGGGCGCTTCGAATAGCGCTCTTGCAACATCCCTATACCAGAGAAAAAACCTTCGAACCCCAATACAACAAGTTAGCTGCCTCTTATCCGTTAGCCCTACATAGCCCATAGCCCTACAACCTCAATACCGCAAAACCCGAAACCTCAAACCCTAAACGTTAATCCCTACAAACTAAACGGCACCGCAGCGCTTACGGTGTTAGTATTGCTACTGATTCTGACCCCCATCTTATGGGGCTCGAAGGTGTCAATCCCTCAGATCCCCGGCTCAGCGCTTTACTTGTCCATGTTGGGAAGGCCAAAAAACCGACCAAGTTTAGGGTCAAGGCTGGGCTTACATTTGGGGTTTCCGCTTGCCTCGGTGTCCATCAGGGCAGCAGCGGGGGAGGTGTTCTCCTGGATGGCTCGGGCTCGGGAGGGTACTGCTTACGGCTCTGAGGTTAGATCTGGGGTTTAGGCATTCAGGTTGGGATGTATGGGTTCATGGTCTCAACGGCTTGGACGTTGTTGAAGGTTTGGGGGATTAAGGGCATGGAGTTTTGGTTTTCACGGCTTGGGATTAATAGTGCCCCTCAACCTTAAACCCTTATAACCCTTAACCCAAAACCCTAAACCCGTTAAGCCGTAGTGCAGGTGGTGTCACCCTTTGTTGTGCTAGCGCTCGGCGGTATGTGGACAATTGGAGGCTACACTCCCAGTGCTTCAAAAGTTCATCCAGCTGCTGGGGCTAGGAGCTGCTGCTGAGCTCGTGATGGGCACTGCTTCAATTTTCAAATCCTCTTCTTCAGCCTCTGCGTCAGCAGCAACACCCAGAGGATGAGGCCCCAGAACCCACTGGAGCATGGAAGCTGGTTTCCTCAAAGGTACATTCTGCTTCCTCAGAATTAGCAAACCCATGATGACAACTGCTGAGTGCAAGGTGCAATCACCGCTCTGCATGTGATGTCCATGTTGCACCCTGTGCTTGCAGCAAGTGGCTCAAATGGTGCTTCAAAGCCTTTAAACGCTTCTCGAGGAACCCATGGCCTGGAATTGTGGCGCCCTGCAAAGTCTGTTGTCCAGAAAGGCACAAAATGTCGATCATGATGGACCAATGCAAAAATTGGGAGCTGCCCCTGAAGTTGAAGATCCTGCAGGTTGCAGCAGGGAATTTGCAAATTGCACACACCCATGACTGCAGCTAAGGCAGTGGGCCCAAAATGCACCACAAGGCCGTGAATCCTAAACACTACGAACGAGCGCAGGTGCCATCAATGTCAGAAGACAGCTTTTTGCAGCGGGCAAACTATTATAACTTGAAACCCATCAGGTGCATTTCCTGCGCGACCAGCGGTCAGAACCACAATGAACTGGAACAGCACCGCTCTCTCTCACGCTTTGAAACGCGGCAGTCAGCTCTCAGAAGTAGGGGTGGCCGCTGGCTTCTGTGATGCGGCAGCACCGCAGCTTGTTGGTCACAGGCAGGTAGAGCCCGCTGATGCGAGATGGAAATTGCCATTCACGAGGTCGATGAAGCTTGACGACGTCGCTTGCAGGCAGCCTCTCGTACTCTTCCTCGTCCTTCAAGTTGACTTCCACTAGCTGGCTCCACAGCACCACGACGCCATTACGCCAGGCCAGCGGCAGCATCGCTTGGACAGCAGGCATGGTGGGTGGCAAGGAATCAAGAGTTTTGATTGCTAGAAAATGGCTGCCATGCCTCTCAGCTATTCTTCAAGACACTCAACTGCACAGGCCGCTCAGCTCAAAGCACTCAGGCCTACGATGCAGTACAGCCGACTGTTTAGAGACTTCAACGCTTTTACGACTACTCAGGGCTCTCTCCCGGGGCTACTCCAACGCATTCACTAGGTTTGTTACGCTCGCTTCTTAAGACTAGCCCCCCTGCACAGAAGCAGCTTTTTCCTGCCGTGTCTCACGCTTCAGATCAGACTACTTTCTGCAGAGAGCCGCACCCAGCAGGCAGAAGAGAGAGCCGTCGCCGCCGTGGTCGGGATGCAGTCTCCGCAGCAGGTGCTGACATTTCTGCGGCAAGCTCTCCGCCTCGTCGTGGTAGAAGAGGACGAGGTTCTTGGGTGCCATGGCCAAGAGCTTCCCCTTGCTCAGCAACAAGCAGCGACCGTCAGGTCGCGTACCGACGACGGGCAACACCTGCCCGTTGTAGCCTGGGCAGCGCTGCAGGTCGTGCACCAACACCCAGCGAAGAGGCACGGCCGCGCTGGGCGCCAGAAGCAGCGAGGGGCACCAGCCTCTCCGCCCTTTGCACTCTGCGAAGACATAATTGCCGAAGGTGTTGCCTCGGTGGCCCGCCTCCTCGCCGCTGCTCGATGCCGGCGTAGGCGTGGAGGCCACGGCAGCCGGCTTTTGCCTGGAAGACGCTGCGATCCATGGCTGCATGGACCACAGGAGGCGTGGTCGGCGGAGGCATGGGGCTGCCCAAGGGGTAAAGCCTTCCGCACGAATTGAGATGGCTTGCAGCCAGCAGTGCGCATTGGGCGTGCCGGGCCTGCCAGGGGCCACCCACCGGTCGCGCATGCCACCCTGTACCGTCAGGAGGAAGTTGGCCCCAAGTTTGAGGAAGCAGGCGGTGGGCTTGCGAGTCCAAGCCGGGATCCTGCCACTGTTAGCATGGGTTACGGATCGCTTTGCGTGAAGACAGCGCTCAGGTCCACCAAGTCGGCATCACCATCGCAAGCAGCCCTCGCGAGCGCCGACATCGTGTCCAGTCCCGTCGCTAGGCCATGCCGGCAGTGGTCCGGCGTACAGATGGCACATGGTAGCCAGCAGAAAGAGCAACTTCATGAGAAGTTTGAACCAGTTTTCTTCCAAGACATGCAGCCACGGCTCTGCCACCTCCCGACATAGAATCTGTTGTTGAAGATGGTCCCGGGGAAGAGCCCGTGCAGGATTCCTGAAGTACGGGTCACAATAATGACCCATACGACGCCGCAGACGGCAGGCCTGGACACACAAGGCACATCTGCACGGGCACCCCAACAGAAGCAGTTCGGGGAACCCCCGTGCATAGCGGAAGGCCTTCCCGCCCGGCTTGTACAATTTCGGGACATTTCCCGTCGAAAAGACTTTTTGGACGGACAACAGAGCGTTGACGAAGTCGGATCGAAAGTAGCCGCTTGCTGCCGGACTTGCCGCTTTTGCCAAGCTTTCCAGATCATCCCGACAGCGCCTGCAGTGCTGCTATAAACCCCAAGCTCTGAATTCTGAACCCTATAAACACTAAACCCTATAAACACTAAACCCTATAAATCCTAACCCCTGAATCCAATAAACCCTAATTTAAGAATCCCGGGGTTCGCGGTTGACGGGGAGAGACCTTTTGGGGTTTACGCGTTTAAGGGTCGAGGGTTTAGAGGTTTTCATGGGTTCAAGGTTTACATAGGTTTACAGGTCTGGGGATTTAAGAGTTTAGTAAATAGTTCAGGGTCTGCAGCATAGGCTTAGGGGTCTAGGGCTTCGGGTTGAGGGCTTACATGGTTCGAGTGGTCTCGGGCTTTGGGTGACTAGTGGTTTAGGGTGCCAGTGCCCAAATCTCGGCTTAAACTTTAGCTTCGTCAAATCTGTAATCCCCAAATTGCATATCCGGATTGTGACGAAAACGGCCCCGAAACCACTTCTGACAGATACTTCAATAGCAACATAGGGGAGCATGAACAGCTTCCCCACGCGTCCGCCTGAGTCTTTGCTAAGCTTCAGTATCCCATATACACACTCGTATTGTAAGATGCTCATGCTTATGCTCAGTTGAAATCCCTAATCTAACCATATCTGACAAAACCGACACCCCCTAAGCCGGCCTACGCTTCTGGACTCTACAGCCGAAACTCGCTGCCAACCTCGTTTAGAACAATCAAGAGGACGTAGAAAACATAAGAGAAACACCATAAAAAAGGAAGAGACAAAACGACAAAAAATCCAAAACAACAAAAACTTAAGCCCAAAGCCCTAAAACCTACCAGCCCCAAACCCTAAACCTTAGTTTAAATCCCTAGACCTTTAACCAAAAAGCAGACGTGCATCTCAATATAAACTAAGCCCTATTTCCACGCCTAAACGCCTGAACCCCTAAACAAGTAAACCCTGAACCCCTAAGCCTGAACCCCAGCACCCCAAATCCGAAACCCGAAAGCCGTAGACCCTAAATCCCTTAACCCTAAACCCTCACCGAGTCCTCCCTTGAAGCCGCCGCGGCGTGAGCCTTGGGTGACGACGCCGGCGCCGACGTCGTCGCTGCTGGGGAACCGGGCTCCTGAAAATGACTCGGTTAAGCCGGGCTGTTTTTGGCTTGGTTTTTTGAGGTGCTTTTGTTTTGTAGAAGTTCTTCTGAATTATCTGAAATTTCAGGAGGGTTTTGCTGGCTCTCTTAGGCGGGGTTTCATAGATCTAGGGTTTAGGGTTTAGGGGCTTCTGCAGCTTGGAGAGTTCAGGTTTGAGGGGTTTCGGGTTGAATTGGGATTCAGGATGCTTTCATGGAGTTTGTAAGGGGTCTCGTCGGAGGACATGCGGTGAATGGCGATTCCCAATAGTTTACGGCTAAGGGCGTAGCTCTTGGAAAGGCTTTCGGCTTGTAGTTTTTGTGGCATGGGAGCTTTACGGGTTTTGGGATTCGGAAAATTAAGGTTTGAGGTATCTAGTCTAAGGTTTAAGCGGGGTTAAGAGTTTAGGGCTTGGGGGCTGGAGCTCGCAGGCGTCAGTCGCGGAGCAGCCTTTCGTCTTCACGATGACGGCAGGGTGCCAGGTTCATTCAACCGGCACCTTGTGCTCGTCCAGGTAGTTGTGCAGGATGACGCTGTGCTCTTAGGTGCATCGGCACTTCTCGTCGGCACTGCTAGGCGATTCTTGAGCGCCTCACGATAAACCCGGATGCGCTCGTCCCGGCTTGCTTTAACTTAGAGACACTCCAGGCGTCCGAGTTAAAGACCTTGGGGAGTGGCGCAGCCTGATTTCTTCCGACCCCGAGGTCTCCCCACCTCTTTCGTGGAGCAGCTCGTCGCGGAGCTGCTCGGTGCACAAGGGTGACCGGAGCAATTTTGCTGCAGGTGTTTCAGCGGACTGTAGGGTAGTCTTGAGGTGTCTATGTATGGCATTATTTGGGTTCGACGGCTATCATATCTGCATGTCTTTAGACAAACAAGCTTTCAGCAAAACAAAGAAAGAGATAGAGAGAGAGGTAGCTACGTAGGTAGGTAGAGAGAGAGAGAGAAAGAAAGAAAAAAACAAAAACAAAAAGACATTTGCCAGGATCCTACACGCCAAACACAAGCCTTCGGTGGTTTCCGTTTGGGTTCGGGATTTAGGAGTCCAGACTGCGGGCATTCAGGGTTTAGGGGCAACTGTGTTTCTGCAACAGCATTCCTGAACACTAAACCCTCAGCCCTAAACCCTAAACCTTAAAGCCCAAGCCCTAAATTCTAAGCCGAATATACTGTGTTCTTGTTGATCGATTAGATCACGTTCATTACTTGCAGAACGAAACCATAGCTTATGCTACAGGTGCCTATTATGGTAACTTGAACTACATTCCTCAACAAGAACCCAAGTATGACAACTAAACCATAAACCCTACACTCCCTAACGCCCCGACTCCCCTAATCGCCCAAGCCGTCTCGATCCCTTTGAAGAAACCTTTAGAAACCCTGTAAAGGGACCCCGAACACCCCTGACACACCCCTAAGCCCCCAATCCGAAACCCTCTCGACCCTCCCCCAGAACCCCCTGAACCCCAAAACTCACCAGACCCCAGTCTCCTGGTGCACAGCACCGGGACTGGCGTTCCTCAGATCCGTTCTTGGTCTTTGGGTCTTCTTATCATGGTTAAGGGTTTACGGGTTTTGGGTTAGGGGCTTTGGGCCTTTAGGGGTTTAGGGTTAAATAGGAGTTTAGGGCGTAGGGTTTAAGATATAGGGTTTATTGGTTTTGAAGTTTCGGCTACTTTGGGGTCTTTGGGTACCGAAGTTTTTCGGGGCGAGGCCTCTTTCGGAGCGTTGGGTTGAACTCTAGATGCTACGGAAGGTTTCAGGCCTAGTTAAAAAGCATTGCCTCTGGATCCGGATCCGACTACTTGCTGGTCTAAGGATTTGCTTCTCACTCGGTACATCGCTCGATTTGGTGTGTTGTCCACGTTTAGCTTTCAGGGCTCTGAACCTTACCTTTGGATCTGAAGAGCTACTAGTTCAAAGGTGTTCCTGATCCCTTAAAGCACTGCATTTTACGGCTCCTTATATGGTTAGGCTTTCTTTCAACGGCCGTAATGTGTCAATTGGCAGAGCGTTCGATGTGCTGGTGTTCATGTTCTCCTTCGGGTGCACGACTCCCCAGACCCCCGGGAGGATCTAGAAAGTAGATCCCCTGATTTGGGGCCTTGTGCCACCAAGGGTACTTTATAGGAACCCCATTAAGGGATCTACTTTTTGGATCCTCCCGAAATTCTGGGTCAGGATTCATTAGCGGAGATCTACAGACCAACATCTTCAGACGAGGGGCGGATGTCGGATCCAAAGGCTGGGTTCTTTAACTAAGAAACCCTATACACCCGAAACCTTAGGCCCTAAACCCTACCTGTAGCCGAAAAGAGCCACCTTTTGGGGGATCCTTATTATGATTTCTATATGTAGTTCCTTCAAAAGGTAGATCTTTTCGGCTACAGCTAAACCCTAACCCCTAAACCCTCAATGTGGTAATCGGATCTATAGTTCAGGACAACGACCCGAAAAAGACCTTACTCCCAAAGAACTTCGGAACCCGAGTAACCGAAGCCCTAAACCCTAAACTCCTAACCCTAAACCCTAAACTCATGGCCTAGGCCGTCCACCTTCGATGGTGGGCGGCGCTTAAGCCCCTCGCAGGTCGATCCAGGACCTGTGCCCTGCCCTGCCCTGCCCTGCCCTGCCCCTTCCCTGCCCTGCCCTGCCCTGCCCTGCTCTGTTTTGGTCTGCCCCCTGCCCTGCCCTGCCCGGCCCTGCCCTGCTTTCTGCCTACTAAATTCCGTTCATAAAATGTGCATTTTAGCGTGGGCCAGGTGCCAAAGTCGAGGTCCCATCCTTTCTTTTCGTGTGGCTGCTTCAAACCCTTGGGTTGAAGAAATAAAGAAAACCATAGAATGAGTTTAGGTGCTAAACCCTAAAAGGAACAGGTTTGGGTGGTTCGGCCGCCTTAGACGCCGTGGGGTGGGAGAGCGAAAAGAAAGAGCCAACAGCCAATCGGCAGAAGACGACGCACTCGAAATTGCACCGTCGGGAGATACTTCCGCTTATGCGCCACTCTACGGCAAACTCAATACCCCAAACCCCTAAGCCTAAACCCTAAAGCCTAAACCCTATACCCTAAGCCCTAAACCCTACACCCCAAAAGCTCGTAAGCCCTAGGGCCCGGTTCCTGAAGCAGAGGATCGAGCTTCCCCAACCCGTACGCCCATGCTCTACGGTTGATGATATATAAAGGAGTAGGGTTTAGGAGGTTAAGGGGTTTGGGGTTTAGGGTTCAGGGTTCAGGATTCAGGATTTCGGATTTAGGGTTTAGGGTTTAAGGTTTGGGGGTTTGGGGGTTTAGGATTGAGGGTTCACGACCCATCCATCCCACCGTCCGTCCATCCATCAACCCGTGACATGTCAAACCATATAAAAGATCTTCTTCTCATGTACATGGCGCCGTTAACTGTGTCATACGAATTATGACCTTCCTTGAAGGCCATAGAGACCTACACCCGAAACGTCCCTAAACATGAACCATAACCCCAAAAGAATAGAACCCTTCAAGGAGCCCTTTGAAGCGCCGAGGGTCGATGGGGAGCCGACATCTTCGACCGGACTCGGATGTCCCTTCGAAGGTGCTGCAGAGTTTATAGCGTGGGGTTCAGGACAAGGGGTCACGATACTTACGAGGCCTGCATTGACTCAAAATAAATAGGATTGGGGGGTTGGCTGGTATATTCTTCAAACCCTATACGGACACTACCAGGATATAGAAGCCGCAATGAATCAGGCCTGTATGCATGATCATGAATGTTTAGGGATGGGGGGCCTAGGATATAGGATCGAAGACGTGGCCAGGGCCGGGCTTCTAAGAAACCCCCTATGGCAGTCGTTATAATAACCCTTATAAGCCCTATAATACTATAACAACCCATAAAACACCATCTGAAACCCTAAGTAAAGACATAAACGCCATAAACCCTCACCATCAACCCAAAAGCCCTAAACCCTTAACCCTTAAAGGAACCCTAATTCCTTAACACCACCCGAAACCTTAAAGCCTAAACCAACTCTGTTAAAAGATCCAAAATCCTGAACCCCGAGACCTTGCAGGAACCTTAAAAAAAACAAAGACCTTATCAACAGGCGAAAACCCGAAGTCTAAACCCTTACAGGGAATCCTCAAAAAAAAAAAAAAAAAAACCTTAAAAGACAAACACGAAACCCCGAACCCTAAACCCTTGAAGGAACCCTTACAGAGACCCCAAAACCTTTACCGAATCCCTAAACTACTATTACTACCATGTTACCACCATACTACTATCATATTACTACCATATTACTACCATATTACTATCATATTACTACCACACTACTAGCATATAACTAAACCTCTGCCTCCTGGTTCACCGCGTCGCGCGCAGCGGGCGACTGGGGCGAACCAGGCTCGGTCGTTCTGGCCTGGCGGTCGGCTTCGTTGAAGGCTTAGGGTTTGGGGTTTTGGGTTTGGGGTTTAGGGTTTTTAGGTTTCAGGGTGTAGGGTTTTAGGGTTTAGGGTTTTGGGTTTGGGGTTTAGGGTTTTGGGTTTAGGTGTTGGGGTAAGGGCTCGGGTTCCTACAAGGGGTCTATATGCAAGCTAGGAGTTCGGGGAATTCGGCGTGGGATGTCTGATGGTTCCGGGACCCCAGAGACTCCAATGTCCCTCAATTAAGGAATACCTGTGGCCCCAAAACCTATGACCCCTTCATTCGAGGGTAGACCCATAAAGCGGTCGGTTTTTGGATCCCAAGGTACACCTTAAGTCATATTACAGTAGAAGCCCAAAGGTTGGAAACCCAATAGCCTCAATCCTTAAGAGTCATGTATAGGGAATCCCAGCACTATTTGGCCTTGATCCGGCTTCCAACTTTTTGGGGTTTACTGAAGAGTTTAGGGGCTTAGGGGTCCAACTTACCCTAAACCCTAAACCCTTAAGTCATATTAAGGATCCTACTTTGGAGTCTTTGGGACTAAGGCTTCTGTGATTTGTTGAGACTTTTGGAGCTCCCAGGGCTTGTTTAGGCTTTAGGCTTTAGGGTTACAGCAAACCCCATAAAGTTGGAAACCGGATAAAGGCCAAGTAGTGCTGGGATTCCCTATACATTACTCTTAAGGATCGAGGCTATGGGGTTTCCGACTTTTAGGCTTCTACTGTAGTTATGGGGATACAAATAGATATGGATATCGATACTATTACCGATAGTATATGTATGCATGCATCTATAAATACATACATAATTGGTAGATGTGCATGTATAAAGAAGTTCTATGTATGGATATGGCCACAATATGTCTTATGATATATGTATACATATATATGTATATGTATATGTATATGTATATGTATATGCATATGTATATGTACATGTACATGTACATGTAGATGTAGATGTAGATGTAGATGTAGATGTAGATGTAGATGTAGATGAAGATGAAGATGAAGATGAAGATGAAGATGAAGTTGTAGATGTAGATGTAGATGTAGATGTAGATGTAGATGTAGATGTAGATGTAGATGTAGATGTAGATGGAGATGGAGATGGAGATGTAGATGTAGATGTAGATGTAGATGTATATGTATGTGTATGTGTGTATATGTGTGTGTGTGTTTATTTAAGTATCTATTTACTTGATTGTTTGTTGGTTTACCACGGCTTAGATATCATCTTCGCAGGACATCGTAGACGTTTCGGGCTCTGGGAGTCACGAGGGGGTCTGGGGTCTCGGGTCTAGGGTTTTCGGGCTGCGCTTCCCTATCCTCCAAGGGGAAAAGGAGGGACCCTTAATGGGAACCCCTACCCTATAATGGGCTATATAATGGGGATAAAAAAGCGAGATAAGGGTATATACCTAAGCGTCCTTATTAAGGGTCCCTCCTTTTACCCTTGGACTGGAATTGTTGAATGTCTGATACTGCATATAACTGCTGGAACCCCAACGAATGATATTGCTAATTCAAATTCAGGAGCCTTGAGTCATGGGTAAACCCTGAACCCTAAACCCTAAACCGTTTCTGCAGCTTCCCGTTTAATTCTTTTGGGTTCTGAGAATGGGGCGGAGTGTCGGCGCAGGCTGAGGTCTGTGACTGCTTTGCAGTAAACCCGTTCTCTGCATAACCCCCAAAGCATAGTATAACTCCCTCAACCCTAAACCCTAAACCATAATATAACTCCCTCACACCTAAACCCTAAACCCTAAACCATAATATAACTCCCTCAACCCTAAACCCTAAACCATATCACACCCTAAGCCTGAAGCCTCAAACCCCCAAAAAACTAAATCCAAAAATCCCTCAATACTATGGGCGCAGGGCAGGGGGGGCTTAAGGATTAGGGCAAGGACTGAGGATTAATAATCAACTCGGGCTTTGACAAAGAACCAAATATGAAGAATGCCTGTTCATTATTTTTAAGGCTTCTACATGAGGCTGCTTGTACCCTCACGGATCCTAAACCCCAAACCCTAAACCACCAGGGACTCTCCAAGCACCGTAATGGTGAAATGTACACCCTCACGGACACTCGAGGCCTTCGGTGAAGAAGCTGCAGATGTTGGGGCCTTTGGCCAACGAAAGGCCATTAACGGTTCGGGACTTAGGGTTTAAGTGGAATGTAAGGAGCCTACCTTTTTTAAGCTTCCCTAATATGACTTCTTGATATAAGTCCTTACAAAAGTAGGTTTCTTGCGGTTAAGGTAGGTCTTAGGGACAAAATTACTTGGGCGTTTCATAATTGTGTTGAATAAGGGCTCCCTACAGAGTTGATACAGTTACAAGTGCGCGTCAGGCACCCGTAAACCCTGAACCCTAAACCCTAAACCCGAAACCCTAAAGCCTAAACCCTAAACCCTAAAGCCTAAACCCTAAAGCCTAAACCCTACACTCTAAACCCTAAACCCTAAACCCCTAAACCCTAAACCCTAAATCCTAAAGCCTAAACCCTAAAGCCTAAACCCTAAACCCTAAAGCCTAAACCCTAAAGCCTAAACCCTAAAGCCTAAACCCTACACTCTAAACCCTAAACCCTAAACCCCTAAACCCTAAACCCTAAAGCCTAAACCCTAAAGCCTAAACCCTAAACCCTAAACCACCAGGGACTCTAAGCACCGTAATGATGAAATCTACATAAATAAAGGGATTATACCACAAACTAAACAGGCCATCCTTAAACTGAGGTTTACTAGGATGCCCAGTAACCTAGGAATAAAAAGGCCTCTCTTTTTGGTATTGGGTAACTTTATAAGGAATCTAGGACTACAAAAAGGGAATAAGGGTACTACTGGGCTTCCTAGTTTAGAGTTTAGGGTTTAGGGTTTAGTTAAAGGGATCTTCCTTGGTCTCGATGTCTGTAGCCAATACATACTGCAATCATTTTTTCTAGACAATCTGAGGACCCCCAAACCCTAGACCCTGGGCCCTAAACCCCTAAACCCTCAACCGTAAACCCCAAACCCCTGAACCCGAACCATACCACTATGGGCGATTAGACCCTAAAGATCCCCATTAGGACCCTATTAAGGGTAGATTAAGGTGCCCATAATAGGTCTAATAGCCCATAGTGGTATACCCTGTTCAAGGATGACAGCCTCGGAGGCCCTGGGGGTCTCTTGGTCCCGGAGCCTAACCCACAGACTCCAATAGCCTTTTTTTGGGAATATTCCTTTGTCATATTAGGGATCCTACAATAATTTAAGGAGAGTTCCTGAATTAAGGAATATGGGAGTCCTAGAATAATTTAAGGAGAGTTCCTGAACTAAGGAATATGGGAGTCTCAAGGGAAAAACATGGTGTGAATCGGTGCTGATTCTCCGCAGACCCTATACAGGATCCTATAGGGCTCCTACAAGGGATCTGTAATTATAGTATCCTTATGGGAGGGGGCTCCAAGGGGGGTAGGTAACCTACTAATCCCTAGTTCTCTCCAGTGCTCCCTACGGCTCCCTTCAGATTCCCTAAGGATCCCTTGTACCCTCCCCGCTTGAACCACCCTCCCTTAAGGACCCTATAATGTAAGGGGCCTATGGGGTTGATTGAGGTTTACCCAGAGACTCCAGTATCCTTGAATGCAGGAGAAGACCCTAAATGATAGTAGGAATTTGCGGTATATTCCGTAGCTCAGGGATATTGGAATTTTTCTGGGGAACTATCTTAAAAGGGTCTCGCAGTAACATGACCCCCAAAAACAGGACCCCCCCCCACCAACCACATACTCCAGAACTGCTTCATTCATGACTATACCTTGAGTCATAGACGGAGCCTTTCTGTGATTCAAAAAATACTCTGTGATACGGTAGGTGATATAAATCCTGCACTACCCATAATAAGGAACATACCATAATTCCCATAGTTTAGGGTTCGTAAGGTAATGCAGGATTGATATCATCAACAGTATTTCGAAATTGGTTAAGGGTAGTGGCGCTTGCGGAAGCCCCCAAAGGGCGCGCATCATCAGCATCAGCGGGGTGCGGCGGACGGGGGGTGCGGGCTACATGGAGGGCCGACGAGGGCTGAGAGCCTAAGATCACCCACAAGTTGTGAACTTCGGGCCTACGTCACACTTTTGTTCCGGTGTCGAGCTGTCGTTGTCTCGGCACCGTCTGGAAATTTTGACCGAGTCTTTCCCGTTCCCCCGCTACATCCGCTGACAACAACTCGCGCTGCCCGCACCTGGGCGCAGCCCCTAGAATAAATGAATATATATGTATATATACACATACCTTCATGTCTGTTTACCTATATATACATAGACAGACAAGATAGATAGATAGATAGATAGATAGGTTCCCAGATAGATATAGGTAGATATACATCGAGGGTTGAAAATACTCAAACATAGATCTGTACATGTATTTGTGTATGCCTGCACTTACATCAGTTTGTAGGTATTTGTATTTCTGTTTGTTTGCTATACGCGGCTGTGAAATGTCTCAACTTTCGGACCTTGCGAACGCCTGAAACAGACTCGAAGCCCTTAAACACCGATCTGGCAAGCCTCAAAACCCTTGATTGAATGTCCCTCGAGGCATTGCAAAACTCCTGATTGGTCGTTCCATAAGTTATGCAATACGGACTCTGTGGACCACAGCTTTCCTACCGGATGGCCAAAGGATTTCAGGATTTAGGGTTTCCGCGATGTTCGGCACGACGGTTGGCAAATGAAGACTGCGCCTTGTCCATCTCGCAGATACCTTGCGGAGGGGGGAGGGTGCATGGATTTATTAATCACCAGTCCCCATTGCAGTTCTTATAAACACTTGTAATCCCAATGAAGGCTATCTCTTACGAACCTCTACGACGGATTTGAACAAACAAGAAAAACAAGCGAAACTTCCCGATCCGAGATAGTAAACACTGGTCATCCCAATCAACCCTGCAACCCCTTTAGACCCCTCATAAGTTCCTGTGGACCCCTTATAAATCACTAAGAAACATAAGCACTCTAACAGGGTGCCCTTACCGTTAAGGCGATCTTGAGCCCAAGCCCTAAACTCCAAGCTAAACCTTAACTCTGGAAAACTGAAATCACCCCAAAGCTCCAAGGTTTCCGTTGGATTTTAGGGTACCTAGAGACTCCCAAGCCCCTTAGCTTAGGAATATAGATGATTGCTTAGTTGCACCACGTCTTGCAAAACAACAGCTGTGAATACTCTTTCAGAATATTCCCTCGGAGTCTTTATGCAAATAACGTACCCCGAACCCAATTCCAATGACTAAATCCACTCTAGATTCCTGGTTTTGTCGGTGTTGTGACTGTCTGGCTATCCGAGGACACTGACAACTCTCGCTGCTGGTGTTTCGGGGACATGGTACGCAGACAGTTGCGAGTGTGGCGGCTGTGCCCCCGACTTCGCCGAGGATGGACGAGGAGGGGGCTCCCTCGTGGATTTAAGCAGATATACGGATGTATACGGCTTACGCCTGAAAGGGGTCATGATGCTAGGATTTTGGGGCAAGCTTTACGATTGTTATAGAGATATAACACCTTTCAAGCCCGAAAAAAGCCCAAGGAAAAACACCAACTCCCCCCCTGTCACCCACAAAAATCGCGAACCCGAAACCCCTCGGCCCTAAACCCCTAAACCCATAAACCCTAAACTGCTAAACCCAAAGCCTCTAAACCCCCTAAACCCGTAAATCCCTAGCCCGCAAACCCTAAACCCAAAACCTTTAAACCCCTAAACCTCTAACCCTAAACCGCTAGACTTTAGTGGTTTTGTAGCCGTTACAGAAACCTTTCAACGGACCCTAGCCTCGGAGGGGAGCGCGAGAAGAAGAGGCAGAAGACTGCGCAATGATGCGCCCCACAAAACCGGCGAGGGCTTTACCTGACGGGTTTTTGCAGAAAAAACCTTCCGTGAGCGCTGGTTTTCCAAGCCTGGTTTTCCCGGTTGCCCCCCTAGGTTTTAGGGCACCCGATCCTTTTTGAAAGCCCCCGTAAAAGTGCCTCTGTGGTTCCCCGTAGGAGTGCCTTGCGTCCGTTTTGCGCCCTATTCCGACCCCCCGCCCAAACCCTTCGGTTGCGCACATGCTTAATTTTTTGCATTTTGTCCGTTTTTGCGCCCTATTCCGACCCCCCCGCCCAAAGCCTTCGGTTGTGCACATGCTCATTTCGCCCGGCGAGGGCCAGGCGAAGCAAGGAACAAATGCCTCTTGCTGGGCTTCGGGGGTGTAGAGACTTTCGGATTAGGGTTTAGGTTGTAGGGTTTAGAAGTTTTCGGATTTGATTAGGGCTCTGGTTTATGAGTGCGTTTAGTGGTGCTGGAGTTCCGTGCGCCGTGCTCCAAACCTCACCAGGTCCAGTGAGTTACCTGCCGCCTACATGAAAGCCATCACAAGCATTGCGTGTCTATAAGTGGCGAGATGCACTGGAAGCGGATTAAATCAAGTTAAAGGAACCATGCATCCGTTAAGAAATCTTGATGACCTTGGCTGAACATCGCTGCAACGTCGTTGGGAAGCTTGGGCTGGCAAATCACAAGTATTTGCAACTCACTGGCAATCTAGACGGATTGATCCGAAAGCTGCCTGCTAGTCGTCGCAGGTTTTTGCTGAGCAGAAATTGCCATCTCGCACACCATCTTCCACAGTAGCATAGTGGGTCTATGGATGTTCTCGGGGCGAGGTCCGCACTGAACCCTTCATGCAACTCTCCGTGGATAATGAGGCGGGCTAAGCGCCGATCTCAGCAGCAGCAGTTTGAGAGTAGCCTTTCGAGTTGGCTCACACGCCAGATAGTACCTATGAAGAGTTTGTACTCCCGACACGCAGTGTTTCAAGTGCAGAGCATTCACGAAGATGCAACAGCTGTGCACCACAAACAAGGGAAAGACCAACTTGAAGAGGCTCGTCAAGGCATCTTCGCCTTTCTTCGGAAACCTCCCCCTCCGAGCCCCCTTCGGGATGAAGGACGGCTCTGGAGCCACAGACGTGGCCGCACCAGGCTACCGAGTGAAACCCAAGAGCACACTTCCACAACGGTCCTGAGCACAGTAGTCTACCAAAGATCCTGAAATCAGAGCAGCAGAATTCCAAAAAAGGCTGCTGCAAGGCCAACGGCCAGCTGGGCGCTGCTGGTGTCGCCGGGAAGCGGTGCACAAGTGCCGCAGTACGCAGGCTGGAGGTCGGTCGTACAGCCTCGGTCGCTGCACTCGATGGTTGTCACGCCCGTCGACACCTCTATCTCAAGAGGTTCGACCAAGGCTGATGAGAAGGCCACGGATTCATGGCAGTGCAACCTCACCCGCTTCACCACATAAAATTTCCACTGCCTCCCTGGTACAGCTTCAGCCGTGTTACCTGCTGATTGCTGCCCAGGTCGATCGTCAGTATCTGGCCGTCTTTCTTCGAGCTTTCCCAGCAGCTGCAACTCATTCCGACGTCGTGATCGCCTGCCCAGAACGTACTCGTATCACCATCCACAGCCAGGCCGGGCAAGTGGCTACTGTCAGAGCCCGAAGATGAGGATGCAATCAGCGTCAGCTGCCCGCTGCTTGTGAAGGCCTCGACCTCATGCAAATCCCAGCTGGCAGAACAGCGAGAAGCAGAGATTCCTCCAGCAGCCCCTATGGAGAGGTAGCGATGTCCAAATGCAGGGTTGCACACTAGCGGGCCATCACCAGCAGAGGGCAGAACAGACCATGAAGCAAGGAGGATCTGCAGTATCACCTGTGAGGCTCCACCAATTGGTGTCGTGACCTTGAGCCAACATGCTTGCGATTTTTCCGGCGCCTCAATGCTAAACCTCTGTCAGGACACCCAAATTGCTACCGTATAAGTATACATTGACCTTGTGTAGAGGGAACCAAATACGCAGGAGACTACATAGGGGAGCATCAGAAGAAAATGAGGGGCCCTAGTGCAACTCCCGAGAGCAGAATCCTGAGCGGTTGAACTCTCAACCCTAAGCCCTGAACCCAGAAGCAAGCGACGAAGAAAATTGAGTCGAAGCTATGGTTCGGGCGGCGTATCGCACACAACGGCTAACCCTGGAAAGCTTGCAAAACACCTCTGAAACCTCAATAAACCCTATCAAGCCTCATGCAGCAGCAAATTTGGGAGCCTTAGCAACTAAACACTTCTCGATTGCGCAAGCACCAGGTGGGAGAACTCACCACTCTCCCATGTTCTACTGCGATCTGCTTTTCGTTTTAAGGCTGTCTCCAGAAATAGACTCACTCTGGGGGTTTGAAGCTGTGGTGTGTTCTGGTTTTGTCTCGAGAACCGCCTTTCTGAAGCCTCGAAGAAATCATGCAAAAACAAGAAACATGGAATCCCCGTGTGGCATACATCAGCCATGCTGTTACTGTCGTTGTATGTTGGTTGAACTGCTTATTCATGTATATTCTGGTTGCCGAAAAAGCCCATCCTCAAGCACAACCCTAGCTGCCCTAGCGTCACACTTCCTCTCAGTTACATCCATGGCCTCTCCACGCACGGCGGAGGAAGATCTCAGAGCCGAGAGGAGACGGCGAGACTTCTTTAAGGGGTTTGTTTGGGGCTGCACCGCATACTTCCGTGGTCCAGACAGAAAAAGTAGAGGGGCATGGCTTACATAGCATTTACGGCGTTTCGGGTTCGGCAGCGGTTCAGGGTTCGGACTTTCGGATAGAGGCTTAGGGTCCAGAGTTTGGTGGCTCAGGACGAACAGGTTTCGTCTGTTCTCGAGCTCTGGGGTGAACGCAGGTCCGATCTTACATACGAAGGGGCACTGGATACAGGACCCTAGCTGCAAACTGGAGCGCCCACCAAGAATGCAATCAGTTTTGCTGTCCGAAACCCAACCCCGCTCGGTTCAGCAGGTGTCGTGTCCGACTGGCAGCTGATCTTCTTTTAACCGAAGCCATACAGGTCTCGGGAGAAGATCACCCTTCCCACGGAGGCTCCTCCTCTTCCTGGCGGTCAACGAAGCCCTTTGCAAACACGTACGGCCGGCTGTTTGTTGGGCTTTGGCTTAGGGGTTGAAAGTTTCGAGCACTTGGGCCGAAGGCTGTTCAAAAGTCGCTTTGCGTCTGCATCTTCGCAGATCTGCGCTTCATGTCCAAGAGTACTTACGGTGACAAACAGCTTGATTCTAGCACGCTCTGCACAACCGAAATTCTCATGCTCAATCCGCCTCCGCGGTGCAGTCTCGATTCACCCAGGGCATTGCGCGCGCAGGTGGAGAAGTTGGTGGGGCCAGGACCTCACACTTCACAGCCTCTCACTCTCAGCTCCGTCATCCAGAAAGTACCATGCAACCATGAGACTCATTCGACGCAACTTCGCTTCTCAGGCTTTGGCAAGGTTTCTGGTACTGCTTCGCTGCTTCGTGCTTTACTTGCAAGCTGCGCCAGGCCGACACTTCCACAGCAAAATCGTAACAAACATAACTCACCATTACCATGGTATGCCAATGTGCTTCGTCGTTCTCCAAGCCTCCAATGTGCTTCGTCGTTCTCCAATCCTCCAGGTTCCGTGCTATAGGTGCCCTATTCATTCGGCTCCTTTCATGTTGGAAAACTCACACAATCAAAGCAGGCCGAACACCAAGATTATCCACCCTGGCCATGACGGGCCAATCAACAGACATTACTCCATGACACACCACATGCCCAACTCAAACGCCACGCAATGCCACACACACCTCCAGCACCGTTGAGGAAACTGTCTTTCGGCAGAGTAGTCTTTGCGAGGCCTCGCGAAAGCACCCATACCAAAATGACTAGCCACCACCAGCCAGCACCCCCAATATCAAAAACGCAACGCACACTTCCTAGCACTGTTCTGGAAATGGTCTCCCGGAACGGTAGTCTTCGCGATGCCCGTCCAAAATCAAAATGCCACGCGCACTTCCAAGCACCATTCGGGAAATTGTGCTTCGGAACAGTCGTCTTTTGCGATGCCTCGGGAAAGCACCGGTACCAAAGTGAACCAGCCAGCACTACACACCCAAAATCAAAATGCCAGGCACACTTCCTCGCGCTATTCCGGAAATTGTCTTTCGGCGCAATAGTCGTTGCGAAGCGAACACACCCATAGCAAAATGCAGCAGCCAGCACCACACGCCCAAAATCAAAATTCACCCAAGCTTCCTAACCCCATTCAGGAAATGGTCTTTCAATGCCAGCACCCATACTAAAGTGCACCAGCCAGCGCCACGCGCCCACAAACGCACACACACACACACACACACACACTTCCGTCTTTCGGCACAATGCCTCGCGAAAGCACCAATACCAAAGTGCGCCAGCCAGCACCATACCTCCAAAATCAAAATGCCACCCACACTTCCAAACACCGTTCGGGAAAGTGTGTTTCGGAACAGTCGTTTTTGCGATGCATCGCGAAAGTGAGGTTTCACAGGTTACAGCTAGGCACGGGCGAGATACCGCTAAGTCAACCCTGCGGAGCTTTCGAATCGTTGGGGACTTGTGCCCATGTTGGTCGCATAATACAACTGCTAAGGACTGCAAAAGTACACGTGGAAGCAGGGTAAAATTCACACGCCCCTCGCCGTGCTGCTCCAGCTAAGGCGACTATCATACACTGGCTCCAAGTTGTCCCGGGCTAACAGTGGGAATTGAGAGGTGTGCCGAACGAGCATTTATAAAACACAGCGTAAGGAAGCCGTGCAAGTGCCATATGCCAAGGAACCAAAAGACAATCCACCAATCAATACCGGCGGGAACAGTTCCAGGCATCCCATTCGGCTTGCGAATACTGGCTGCCACGCGTGCAGTATACGCGTCCCATTGGGCCTGAGTATACCCACGGAAGAGACGCTCAGCTCCGCGTCCCACTCCCCTTTGGGGCAGGACGGTGCCTTGCAGCAGCCTGACGGTTCTGTTCAACCAGGCACTCGGTCGCAGCATTCTGGCGCACTTTGGATACTGTCGGCTAAAATCTGCGCGAGCTCATCGGCGATGCCGTCAGCGCTGACCGAGTTGATGTGAACCTCCCCATCGAACGTCAAGATTTTGCGTGCGCTTTTGTTCACGGCCACGGCCGCGATCTCAGAGAAGAGGCGGGGGCAGAGGAAGGCGCCTATATACGTCACACCAATGGGAGCATCAGCGATGTCATCCACAAGTCGCAGTGCGCGTAAGGGCTCCCCTTCACAGTGGGCATAGAAGACCAGCTTCGCCGGACCGCCGGACCGATCCCTGCATGGGCTGCGGATGGCTGCGGCATCGGATTGATAGTGCGACCCCGCCCTAAGGTGGCGTTGCTCCTCCCATCGCCCTGGGTCCGGGAGGACTGCGAACGACAGGTAGTCGAACTTTTACATGTCCTCCATATTGCGGCTTTCCTGCATCATCCTCATCTTGAACTGCTCATCGCCATTGAAGCGTTCGGCAACAGAGCTGAAGTTCATCTTGTTGCCGCCTCCGCGCTCATCTGACCACGCTTTCGGGATGTATCGCCCATTTGGCGGAAATCCGAAGTGGGGTGCCACCCGCGGGGATAGTACAATTTCGCAGGTGGCATCATCATCAACGTCCATAGCCACGTCCTGGAGCTTTGGAGCCGGAGTGGCCTTGGCCTTGGGTGACTTCGGCATCTTTTGTCGATGCAATTGCCTTCGGTGCGCTCGACGAGCTGGCTCCTCATAGTCGCGTTTTGCACGGAATGTGCGATCAGGCTCACCCTCACGGGTGGCTTCACGTTCGGCTGCGACATATAGGGGAACCTCCTTCTTGGAGGTGTCCACCGCGCTCACAATGCAATCCGGCGGAATCGAGCCCCTCGTCAAAATCCCGTCAGTCTAGGGTCATGAAAAAAGTCGCAACCACATTTGATCGCCCTCAGGGTGTCGATGGTCAACTCGATGGGCTGATTGGAACGCATTCCGCTCTTGTACTCTGCATCGGAGAGTCGGGAAGCCGAGAGGTATAGTTGTGAGCCCTTTTTGATCGGGCGGATCCAGCAACCATTCCGTCCCTGAGGATACCGTTCATACCGCGCTCATTGGTGCCACCTCCTCGCTGGGACCTGATCAACCGGCAACACCGTGACTCCCTTCTGCTCGCCACCTCTGCCTGCTCAGCGTCAAGGAGTGTGGAATCAGCGGCGAGGAAGAAACCAGTGTCATGGCTGCCCACCAGCTTCTCACTGTGTCTTTGGGACACCCTTACACGCACGCGGAATAGTGGCTGCCCGATGGACTCACGCATCGGGACGTCGATGCCCTGGAGTCGGATGCGTCCTTTCTCGTCCGCCTTCCCTCAGGAGCTGGCGGACTTCCTAGCGACAGTTGCGGCACTCGTTAACCGTCAAAGCGGCTATAAGCAACGAGTCCACATCCATCCAGCACCGCTTATCACACACCCGTGGGCGCTGCTCCAGTTCGTGCCTTCGAAGAAGGCGAGACAAGAATCGTACGTCTCCATTCTTGAACTTGATGTTCTTATCGCCATTGATGTCCTCAGGATTGAAGGGCATGAGACGATGCTTGCGCCCATTGTCTTGCGGGGCGCTTTGGTCCACATACATCCGAGAGCGAATGGCATCTTTTCGTCGCGATCGGATCTTGGAGGGGCTCTGGGCTTTTCCTTGGCCAGCTCCACAACTCTGCCAATCGACGACTGAATGGGTACGTCGTACTCACCCTCAACGACCAATGCCACGGTACCAGTGGCATTGTAGGAGATCTTGCCGTCTTCATCTTGCGTGATGACGTCATTGACGCATTCTGCGATTGCGCTAACGTCGGCGCCGGGACCGAACTGGGGCACGTCCTTGTGGACGGCTTTATCCACCGGCGGAGTGTTGTTGATCTTGGAGATATCGGCCGCCCTCGCATCGTCAGGAGCCTCCCACAGCTTGTTATCCTGAGTGATGGGCCGATGTTTCGGGGCGACGTTCGGGTTGAGGACGGTGTCCTTTTCCGTGCGCCAACTCTCAAAGACTTCATCGACAATCGGATTGCTCCCCCGCCTCGATGTGCTCATATCTGGCCAACAAGGCATGAATCGCCGGAGACATCTTTTCCGCGAGCCATTCCGCTTTCGATACGTTCAGTGTCGAGTGGACATAGCTCATAAACTTCTGGCGGTTGGACTTGGAAAGAGTCGTACATCTCCAATTTCTCGACGATGGGCGTAGCGCTTTGGGTCTCTGTAGGCCTCTGGACTCTTGACTTAAACTCCGTGAACATGGCTTCATTGAATGCGTCGTAGGCCGAATGCAAACTGGAAGAGGCTGGCCTCGACGTTGGCAATGACTTTCAATTCACGAATCCGATGTCAGGCTCGCCCGCGAGGGCGGCTAAAAAAGCATCGGCAGACCTCCGCACCTTTTTGGCAACCATATCCGTCGTGGCAGCGGGGTCACGATAGCCAATCCGGGAGAAGTTCGCGTTGGAATGCATCCCCATTGGCCGGAGATCTCGTTGCCAGCCCACCAGGCGATCACATTTATGATGCACTCGGGGTGGCTTTGGCGTAGCTCCTTCACATGTTCCGCTATCTGCCACTGGATCCAAGCCATTGTCTTGCTCCAGCACATTGTGTACCGCGTTTCCTCCCATCCCAGACTGAATGCCGCTCACTTCACTTCTTCAGCCAAGTCGGACTTGGTGAAAGATCCCTTGCGGTTCATTTTGCACAGCGCAGCGCTTGCATCCGAGACGAACACGAGCGCACGTTTGCGCTTAGGGCTCAAGCTTGCGGCTGGCTTCAGCTTGGCCACGCCGTCATCAGAAAGGCTTGCAAGCTGCCGGAGTGCAGTGGTCTCGGCATCGGGTGCGACGGCGATACAGTAGCCGCGCACTGGGTGGAGCCCCCCGTGTAGGCGAGCATCTCGGCATCGCGATCCGCGCCCAGCGACATGATGTCGCAGTTCAGGGCTGCACTTTGGAGGATCACTTTCATGGTCTTGGTCACACCTGCACAATCTGGCTGCATCGTGTTCACTGTGGCATAGTCTTCTCGACGATAATAGCAGCCGACATTTCGGGTCTTCTCGGGTCAGATCTTTTGGGGCCAGCTCTTTCGGCAGCAATTTTCACACACAGTGGGAAGTCATGATTACTTGGTCATGGCCCACAACCCGTTGTATGTTTGTGCAATCGATCGATGCGTGTGCCAACGAATCATTTTCGAAACGAGAACACGATATTGAAATGCTACCCCCCTTATCGAGAGGGGAACAAAGACCTGATCTAATGCACACCATTGCTGTCTGAGTCGGTAACTTCAACTGAGCTGACGGCAGCGAGAACATGGTTTGTCGCAATATGTTCTTCTGGTTGTTGTTGGATTTCTGGCACCCCCCTGACGAGTAAGCGATAAAAGAGTGACCCTCGCCCTTGTAGGGTAATTGATGTTTGCTTTTTGCTGAAGGCGTTGAGGGGAGTAGTACGTGTTTGGTCCTACTAGGAACATTGCACATCCCGTTGTAGATTTCGAGTCAACTCACCCGCGAAGTCGGAATCACTGAACAACCAAAGGCTACACTCCATGATGCTGTCGCCAATGAAGCCGTTCATCATGACGTCAAACGACGAGTTTATGTAGCATACCAAGCGACGTAATCCAAAGTCGCAATCAGGACTCCACTTGGTAACCCTCGATGCCAATGACTGGGTTGCCCTCAATAGATCCCACCTAGCCATACGGGCAGCGAGCAAAATCTTCATCAACACCTTGCTCGCGATTGGTTGCAACCTCCCAGTCTTCTCCTGCTGCTATGGGCAAAGCCACCCCGTAGCTCATGAAAAGGGGTTGCAGCGGGTTTCAGGGTTTCGCACTCAACCTTGGCAAGCTCGCGATATCGATCAACACATGAATCCAGGAAGTCTTTCATGTCATGAGTGACGCGGGCAACCGGTTTGGTCATCATCCCCGGCTTTTCCTTCTGATCCTGTGATGGAGTGACGAATTTGCTTTGCTTGACTTCTTTCTTGGCCTCAGACTTGTTACGAACAGGCTTACCCTTGCGGGTAGCAGCAACTGCCCGTTCGAAATCAGACTGTTCCCGGCCTCCAAGGTCAAAGTAGGTCTCGCCGTCCCACCAATCCTTTAGGCAGCGATCGCGCGTTTTGTTGCAGGTATCGACAATTTCATCAGACTTAGCCACAACAGTATACCGACGGGGACCAATACCTGGGAACAGTCTTGCGTCGTCCTCATTTGGCATGTACAGTCGCTTCTGAGGGTAATGATGACGTCTGATCGCTCGCAGATTCTCAGGGTCAATGTCCCCAGAGCCTCCTTTCTAGCGGGAGCTTTGGTTTGGGTTCAAAGACATGCCGAAAAGGATGGGCGTCTTTGGGCAGCATTATGTTGTGTTCTGCCCTGTGCATACGACCAAAGTACCTCCCAATGGCTTCCGGTGAGTCCATGTCGATGACGCTCGAGATAAGGCCCCAACCCTCCTGGATGGCATTCTTAGGACCAGCGAGCTGAAAGTCATCCACGTACACGACTAGGAGGAGCTTCTGTGTTGGGCGGTAAAACACACGTCTTCCATATGTCCGTCAAAACAGCCTCGAACCCTACTTTCTTGAGCTCCGTCTCGCAACGACGTTCCTGAATCGGGGTGTCCGTAGAGTGCTAATTTGAGTGGCACAACAGGATCCTTAATGCCCTGCCATTCTTTGGGCCAACGGTTGCGAGGCAACCGTACCCATGTAGCCACTCCCTGGAACAAGACCTGGGTGTATGCCTGCCTAGCATCGGCCTGCTGAATAATGTAACCCGGTTGGGAGCCGAAGACGTCCAGAATTTTTCCGGCTTCCATCGATGCAGGACTACTAGACATCTCCGCGAAGAGAGCATGATCATCACTTTCATCAAGTACTTTGCTTCCCTGGAACACCGACCTGCCTCTGTATTTTCGGTCGGGGTCACCCTTCTTAAGCTCAGCTCCTTTCACAAAGAACAACTCTGAAAACACGTTTCCGAAGTGAACCTTTTGGTTACTCTTCTTGGTTTCGGACGCAACCGACTCAAACTCCCTCACCTTCTTCTCTACCCAGCAACCTTTGTCAACGAGCTTCTTCCATTCCTTGCCCATCGCCGCCTGAGCTTCCGGGTTGGATGCAATCTCCTTGGACGAAAGGACCCTGGCAACTACGGCATAAATTTGGTCTGCGATCTGGAAAGGTTTCTTTTCGTACAATTCTTGTAGTCGTTCCCGGCGTTCTTCACTGCAGCCGTTCAGGACGGGCATTGCGGGGACTGCTTTCACGGCCTCCTGGTACTCTGCCTCGTCCTTTTCCTGAAGCTGCTTCTCATGCTCTGCGATTGCTGTTGCCCTCTGTCTTTTCGACATAGCTTTCCATGTGGTATGATCAACAGCATCGGGACGGTTCCGGTTGTTCGTTTTGACAAGACATTTACCGCTCCAAACCATGCAGTGGTTGTGGAGACGGGCAACCAGGTATTCGGCTTTGAAGGTAAACCCCGGCTGTATGCGACACCCAAGAAAGATACCCTCAACGCCAGTGCCTGCGAATTTCGAACGTTCTGGCTTCTTCTGCTTTTTAGGTGCCCAGCACAAAACCTTCGCTCCAAATGGACTGCGCTTGCCGTTGAACTTCTCACCGTACCTTAGCTCCCACGGGATCTGACCGTTGCCCAACCTCATGGTGATGTTGAGGCAAATAGCGTGGTGCTGTGACGCCAGGGGCCAGTAGCGATCGGGAAGACCTGATTGCACTAAGCTGGCCCGTCTTCCTTCAAGGATTGCTCTAATCGCGCGCTCGATTACTGCTTTGTTCTCGCTCACATACTCCCTAGAAGTGTTGTGACGGGCTCACAGTTGCCTTGCGGCATACTCAAACTCCAAAACATTATCAGAGTAAGTGGCCTTGACTTCATCATCGACACCAAGGAAGTGCAACATGTCTTGGTAACATTGCTCACCAGACTTTGTCTTGGAAGAATAAATGTATCTGAACTTAGGGTACACGTCCTTTACCACGCGAGCGACAGCCTCTTCCTAAAACCCGTAATCCTTGGCATCAGCAGTGACGATGTGGTCTACTGTGATGTGGTCAGCGAACGCTTTGCTATAGATTGTTGATGATCCGCCTGACTTTCTCGCCTATAGAGAGTACATTTTGTCTCGTTGGCAAATCGGGCAGACAGGCTTCTTCGGTCTATGGGTAAGTTGATGTTCCAGCGAAGCCGCTTCGGCCCTCAGTGAAGCTTCATCCTTCTTGGTTTTCGCAACCGAGTATGGCTCGACATCGCTGTCGGCTGCCGCCTCAACCTCCTCTTCAGGCAAAGCAAGCAATGTGATAGTTGCAATAGTCTCTTCGGGTACTTCCCCATAAATTCCATCGAGTTCGTCAATGTTGCCTGAATCCTCAGTCAAAGACCACACCTTATCCTTGAATCCCCAAGTAGTCCGGATTCAGTACCTCGGGAATTTGGGAGCAGATGTGCGAAAAGTCTTCGGGAAGTGTGCCACCTTTGCAGCAGGACTGCCGCCGATGACGGTCCAACCAGCCTTCAGCAGTTGGCGTGGCTCCACCCCTGGAATGGGCGGAATCGAGTTCGCCATCTTTTCGATAGGCCCTTGTTCTTCAACCGCGCCAACTAAGCCATCAGGCGCTTCTGATTCTCCCCTTGCTGGCGCGGCGTGCCGTTGCGGGCAGCTATCTACCGACAACCCGTCTCGGCGGTAACCGATGTTGGCGCACCCCTGCGCACTGCAATCCGATGCTGAGGATGTTGTGGCAGGACAGGCAACGAGCGTCCTCGGTCACCAAAGACAGGGACGTTGCCTCGAAGTTGGCAGTGCACCTACTGACCAGCTGGGCACATGAAATATGGCGCCTCGCAAGTGGGCCAGTGAAATGAGAATCCCTGTTCCATGCGCTTCTTGCCGACTGAGCAAACTGCTGGTGTATTGAGCTCGACAAACTGCAAAGGATTCCGCAATGATTCAATGTAGACTTCATGCTTTGTTTCGGCGTCTACTGGTCCGTTGAATGTAATCGAACTTGCAGGATTGCTTGAGATCTTCTTGGTCTTGTCCTTGAAATGAACCTCTAGATCAGAGTGGCTGATAAGATCTTCCTCGCGACCAGTGTCTGCGATGACTTCCAGGCTAGATTCGCTGGTCGTCGCTGCTGCAGCAATTGATGGGGGAGTAACTGCCTCTTTGCAATGGGTGCAAAAGCCCTCTCTCCCTCGACACGTGTAGCCACACTTCGCCCGAACTCCGAGCTTCATACCATTGACTGCTGACTCCAAGCGGAGGCATTGTCTAAGGCTTCGCACATCACAACATGTAAAGTCGCTGCATCTCTTTTTGCTGCAGCTCCGAGAAGGTTGTACAAGCGAGCCGCAGTATGCCATGCCTACGGGCGGCGGGAGCGGCGGGAGGGCATGCTTCAGCCGTACATGAGTTTCAATGCTCAGCCTTACTTTACAAGGCTTCGCACATCACAACATGTAAAGTCGCTGCATCTCTTTTTGCTGCAGCTCCGAGAAGGTTGTACAAGCGAGCCGCAGTATGCCATGCCTACTCCAACTAACCCAACTGTACCAGGCTAGAAGCGCGACCGTAGGCAGGACCGGGAAACCAAAGTGAACCAGGTAGTTGCTGGATAGCCGCTGCTGTGGAAAACCTCCGCAGTAGCGAGCATATCCGGAAAAAGGCGCATCGTCTCCAAAATGCGCTGGGCGATATCGTCCGGCAGCCGAGGCAAAAACAGAATAGAGGACACCTCCTGCACGTAGATCTCCATAATTTTCTGATTTAGCCAGCGGCCTCGCCTCCTGACGAGCTCGCCGTTCTCTGTTGTCTGTAGCAGCCACGTCGCGCCGCCAGCACGCAACGAACCCAAGTCAAGCGGCTTCACCACGTGAGGGGGGATGGTATCCAGCCCAAAAGCGGGCCCCAGCTTAAAGAAGCGTTGCCTAAAAGTGCCCGGCGACATCGGCCACAACTTCTGGTGAGGGCTCTTCTGCTTGAAAGCCAGTTCAATAGTCCTCATAAGCTGCGGCTGGTCGACCCGCAGGGCTTGGTGTCGCGCTGCAGTAAACCTCGTCTTAGGCTCTCGTACAGACATCAGTATATAATCGACCGTTTGATCGACGTCGCTGGGGAGAACAAGGTCAGCCCGCACAGCGCTGAAAAGTTCTCCGATCCTCGCCAGGCCTCCCCAGGCCAGGGCAAGGATTCCTGCGACATCCAGCCATCCCCACAGCAAACAAGCAGAAAGCAAAGCAAGGAGTACCTGCCAGGGCATCGCCTGGTGATGGATGTGAGGCTCTAGCCTTTGCCATTGGAAAGCAACATCCCACGCTGGCTGGAGCAGTCTCCTAATTTTTGGGTTCTTCGAGGAGAGGGCATTGACGGTCTCGGCGTAATGGTTGTAGGGGCGGCCGGCCTGATAAAGTGCTCTGCCGTAGCGCGACAGAATAGCATTTATATCGTCGACGTCAGGGATGCCACAGGATTCGAAGAAATCTTGTGGTATGCCCTGATCTCGCGCCCAGCCCATAAAAATCTTCCACAAAGCGTCTCTCAAAGTCTGTGCTCTTCTCGACCGGCCGGCCTTCGGGGAGCGGCCTCTCCCTCCTCACTTCCAGTCGGGCCTGGTCGCCCTTGTTCCTGGGCCCCAGATCTCCATGGCGGCACTGCGCAGCTGAGCTAGAACCGAAGCCGAAGCCCAGCCAAACCCAGAACCCCAGGACTCTGAAAGAAACTGGTGGGAAAGGATCTTCACCGGGAAAACCGAAGTCCATCGGAGGAGGTCGGTAAAGAAGGGCTGGCAGAAGACCAAAACGATCGTGCAAGGAAGGTGGACTCCAAGGTCTGAGCCTCAACACCAGCCTGGCCCAGTTGGCGGCCCAGCGTCGCAGTCGGGGAAGAGAAGCAAGGGCCTCGAGGTGCTCATGGTCCACAAGGTGAGGGCCAGGAACGGGCTCCGGTATATCCGTCTCGCGGGACGGCATAAGCCTGGTCGGAGCAAAAGGCAGAGCCCCGTACAACCCAAAACCTAAAGACAGGGCAGCTATCTGCTTAAGCTCTTTCTGGAGGGCAGCAGATGGGGAGCGCCCTTTGGATGCAGCATCGGGCGACGTTGGAGTCGATAAGAGACACAAATCTCACCTGAACCCGGGATCGGGCCTGCATCATACAAAGCCTTTTGTAGGCCCCTGTCTCTAGCACATTGATGTGGCGTGGTGCTGGCCAGTTCCACGCTGCACACGGGCGCCAGAACAGCGACTGAGCAACATCATTGACCAGCGGACTCTCGAGCCCAAAAGCCTCAAGCTCGTGATGCAGCCGGCGCTCCCGAAGGGCAAGAAGGCCTCGAGAGAAAACCTCGGCGAGCGCGTCGCGATACTTTGTAGCTCTGGGAGCTGGTAGCTCATCGCACTCACCGGGCTGGGCATCATAGCCAGGGGAGGCGGTCTCCAGGGCCCGTGCAGGAAGGCCGGTGGAGAGAGTCAGCAGAGAAGCAGGGCCAGGACCCGCACGCGCCTTATGAGACCAGCCTTGCCGTCGCTTGGGCTCACGGGGTGTCCTAACCTGAAGGACACCTCCCCCACACGCAGCAGCACGCCAAGCCGGTAGGTAAGGTGCCGTTGAGTTGCCCGGACAGACGATCATACATGCAGAACCGACCCGACGAGCGACTCTGAAGACTAAAAGGGCCCGGAGCAGAAGCTTGGTGTCTCGAAGTGCCCGGGCAGACCTAGTGTCACCGAAAGGTTTGCTGGTGGTGCGGAGAGGCGGCACACGCGCCGCGGAAAAAGAGGGCCCGGGAGGCCCGATGGCCAAAGCATCCAGGCGGCCTGCCTCAAGCATGTGAAGCAGCCAGTTGAGCAGAAAAGGCTCGCAAAGATCAAAGTGTGGAGAAAACTCCGGTGCAATCGTACAACAGACCATCCCCTGGCAGCAATCCGTTCGGAGAGGGAGTCGCCCAGCACACCAACGGAGAGGAAGTGGAAGCTCAGTCCTACCGGCCTATGTACCCTAAAGGGGCCTAGGAGAGGGTCGTCGCGCTCTAGGGTCTGGGGCCTATGGTAGAGGGGGTCCTTCTTATGGAGGCAGGCTTGGGCCCCTAAAAGCAGTTTTGTCGAGGCCCCCTTTCGGTCGGAAGCCCTCCACAGGAGAGCAGAGACTCCCTCAGGCGCCTTGGCGGCAGTGACAGCGGCCCTTGTTTCGCTGCTGTCCGTGGCGTAGATCGTCTGATCCCACCGGGCAGCAAGATCGGCGGTAGCGAGAGGGGCCAGAGCTGCACACAGCGCAAGCTCAGAAGCGACGGGGCCGAGGAGCTTGACGACCTTTGGGTCGGCCGGGTCTAGCTGGTCCGCTCGCACCAGCCCAAAAGCCTTCTCCGAGACCCACCGCCCGAGCAAGCAAGTGTGAAGGCAGTCGGCGGTGGCCGGCGGAGAGGCAATTGTCAAGGAGACCGAGGCTAGCGATAGCCTCTTTCCTCTGGGGGCTCCCGCAAGCACTGTTCCTCGGGCACGAGAGGCCGGAGTGGCATCGACCTCAGCTCCTGCGACCCTGGCACAGTCTGAGCGTCGAATGTCCTTCTCGACCGACCCCAGCAGGCCGTGCCTCTGGTAGGCTGAGGTGGCCGTCTCGAGTGCAGCGAGGGCACGGGAGGCCTCAGGAGGTGAGGTCGCAGGCTCAATGCTGATAGCATTGTAGTCGTCGATGACCAAACCCTCAACTAAAGAAATTGAGGGGAAAAGCTTCCCGGCTTGGACCTCGGTGGTCGGCGAGAGCAAACCCGATTCCTGAAGAAGCGCCCTGTGCGAACCCGTGGCTATCTCAACCCCTAAGTGGTCGCCTTGAAAGATGGCCGCGAAGCATGGGACAACCTCCCGCTGCGCAGGGGGACCAACCAACAAGCTAGATCGGCCTGAGGGGCGACCCTGTCCCGGAGAGCCCGTTTCGTCTAGCCTCCTGCTCCTAAGGTCGGCAAGCGATGGGTACCTTCGAAGACGCTTTCCGGCAGCGGCGGGTAAAGAGCGTTGTGCGTGGCTTTCCTGGGCCCCACCCTAAGTTGGTGGTAAAAATCCTTTCTGTCGGTGACCGCTATGCGTAGGAGGCACGGGCCACATGGCAAGGCAACACTGGGTCCTCTCAGCCCTCTTTCCCGGTAGTTTCTAGCACGGCGATCTCCTATCTGCCGATCGCACTCGACGCTTTTAAAAGCGTTAAAGACCCGAACGGAGTCCTGTCGGTCTACCTGGTCTCCGTAGCCATCCTTGAGGTACAACAGACCTATAGGCTTGCCCATTTGAGCGCGAGCTTCTCGACTTCGGCCCGCTTCTCCCGGAACGGAAGAGGTCAGGCACGGCATCAGGAAGAGGAGCAGCACCATGCAACAGCACATTGGGCTCCAAGCAGGCAATCTGCAGATCGGGATGGCCCTCGAGGTAGGGGACAGGATCCCACGCGCCACGGCCTGTGATCTTGAGGCGGAGTGCCTGCACTGGCAGTTTTCTCCGCAAGGTTGCAACCGTGGGTCCCGCAGAAGGAGCCGGAGGAGCAGCCGCGGTCCCGTGGAAGAGGGGGCCATAAGGATCCGATCCCGGCCCCAGCTCGGTAAGCTGCTCAGAAAGCTCCCCAACGCTCTCAAGAAGTTGCGCGTTTCGGCGCCCAGACGAGCTCACTGCAAATGGCTCGACGGCACCGCAGGCCTGGCACAGGCGGGTAACATAAGAGATGGCCCGGGTCTGTGCCGCGTTCGGCCGGTGGCTTAATGCCCTCAAGGGAGAAGGGGGGCCGCCAAAGAAAAGGAAGTTACAAGCCATCACGGCGACGTGTACAACCCTCCTGCCTAACTCGGGAAGACCTAGAGGGCGGGACGTGTTCAAAGCATCCCGGGAAAGGCACCGGCAAAGGGAAAAGGGCCTGGACGGGACTAGGAGAGGAGTCCCGAAGGAGATGCAGCGCAGTGCCAAGAAATTTGCCAAAAGCGCCCCTGGTGCGAAGGATCCGGGCAGCCAGAGAGAGACCGTAGGCCCGGAAGCTAAGAAGGCCGCGGCCGGGAGACGCAGGCAGAGGGCCGTCGCCACCTTCAAAAGGACGGGAACCCGATTGCAAAACCTCACCAGGAAGAATGCGAAAGAGGAGCCCAGCGCACAGGAGAATCCGGGGCGGCACGGCCTAAGGACTAAGAGAACCGGGGGCCTAAACCAAAGGGGCCTGGGTCCTGGCAGAGGCAAAAGGCAGAGCGGGCCCAGAGACGGAGCCGTCACACCCAGTACAGGGCGCAGCACAGCCTACCAACCCAAACCCTAACGGGACTAAACCCAAGAGGCCTAGGGGAGGGGTCAGGCAGAAACGGGGGACCGCAGGCGGTCGGTCCGTGCAGGCTGGTTTCGGGGCCGCATCTGCGTCCTGGTTTGGTGCTTTCGGTCGGCCGTGGGTCGCCTCGTTCCTCCGGGTCTGGATCAAGTCTATCTCCCGAATGTAAGAGAGGGTCGTGGTCGCCCAATTCGGAGGCGTCAGGCCCCCGAACGCTCTGAGTCGCGGATTCGCACTCCAGTCTGAGGTTTGTGCTGGATGAGGTGGATTTTCCAGGAGGCTGAGAAGGTAAGCCACCTCCCAGGATCCCCCGTCCTGGGCACTTTGCTCGGTCGCTATCAGGCTGAGTGCCGTGAGCTCCTCAGCTCCGGCCACATCCCCGGAAATAAGGCAGTCGGCTATGTTCGAAAGCAGCCAGAAGACTGTCCCCAAGGACCTTTGGGACCCAAAACCTCCGAATCGCTCGCCGTACGTGGTGAAGACAGAGCGGCGGGAGGACAGCTCCTCTCGGCTGGTCGGCAGGGCCTCTGAAGGGGAGAGCCTCCTTAGCGCTTGCTGAGACACCTGGAGCAAAAAGTTTCCGTTGCGCTGGGCCAGCTGCTCCTGAAGGCGCTCTCTCTTCGAAGAGCCCCGGCCCGGAGGGAGGAGGTCATGGTGCCCGACAGGCCCGGATCGATCCCATCTGCCTGGGCAATCAAGTGCGACACCAGCGAGCCGAGGGGCAGCATAGCCTCCGCTATCGGATTTTGCCGGCCTGCATAAAAATTTATCTCTCCCGTTGCATCGTCGACGGCGATCTCGTCCTCGCGGGCCGGCTCCTGACGGGGAGGAGGCGGCACAAGGACGGGTGCCTTGAGGTTGGGGGACTCTTTATAATATCTAGGGTGCTTAGGGGCTCCGGCAAGGGTCGTGATAGGGAACGCCTGCAGCAGGAGGCATGGCTGAGGAGGCGGCGACAGAAGGCCGCTGCTCGAGGGCACGTTGCCTCTCGGAGAGGCTCTGCATTTGCTGGGCCAGGCTTGGAAGCAGGGTCATCATCGACTCCAGCTGTTCCATCAGTTGGGCGTTGGTAGCCCTTTTCGCCTTGGCCGGCTTCCGTTTTTGTGGCTCCTCCCCCTGCTCCTTCTTTGCTGGATCGGCCTCCTCTGCTGCAGAGTAGAAGGCCAGCTTTTCGCCAGTGAGGGTCCGGACCCAGTCTAGGGCGACCCGCAGAGCGTCCTGGTCTTGATGAGGCGATCCGCTCACAAAAGGCGAGGCCTCCGAGAAGGATGTTACTGGATCGTAACGCCCCAGGTAGCCCATAACCTCCGCACCTAAGTCGATGAGGAGCACAGTGGCGGTCTCCCCGTTGGCATTGATCTGTCCATCCTCCTCCTCTTCGGCGGTTGCCACGACTGCCTCGCACCAGGGCCCGATCAGAGAGTCGGGGGGACCATCGAGGCCTGCTTTCAAGAGCCCTCCATCTAGAAAACCCGAAGGGATCACAGCTAGGAAGCCGCCTTCGCGAAGCAGCAAAGGGGTGATGACACAGGACCGGGGAGGTACATCGGGCCAGTCCATTACCAGGCAACCTGAGTCGCCAGGAGAGTCCAGAAACTCCTTCACTAGTTCCATGTTTGGCGGTCGGGGAACTCCACGCCTGCGACCTTTGCAAACAGCCGGCTCTCGCCCTCCGTAGGGAACCCGTGGCACACGCAGTCACTTCCTTCCAAAGGCTCGGTGTACTGCTTGAAAAGGGCAAAAGAAGTGAAGTAGCGGACCGTGCGGTCGCCGCGGCACAAAAGAACAATATAACACCTGCTACGTACGGCCAAGTGCGGGGTGGCGTTCGGGAAGTCTTGCTCGGCACGGAGCACGGCGCCTGCCTGGAGACCTGCCTCCCAAGCACGGTGGGCACGAGGGGCCCTATCAGCAACACGCAGGGACGCAACAAGGAAAAGACTGTCGCTAGGCAAAGGATCACCGAGGACAGGATGAGGAGGAACCCGGGACGAAGAAGCAGGAGGTGCCTGAGGGCCCTGAGAAGGCCGCGAGGGGGCAGAGCCCGGAGCAGAAGAGGCCAAAGAAGGGCCTGAAGGTTGAGGAGCCGGAAGGCTCGGCAGGCACAAGGTCCCAGCCGTTGCTAGGATCGTCCTCGAGCTCCTCGAGAACAGCCCTCAAGGAATCCACAGCAGAGCGGATTGTATCAACAATCCCCCTACTCATGCAGATAGGCCCGTAACCTCAGTGATGCAGGCCTAGGAACTGGAGCAGGAGGAGCCGGAGGCTCGGAAGCAAAAGCGGCCTGGGCCACAGGGGTGAGGAGAATTCCACGGAAAAGGAAGATCCCCAGCAGAAGTCCAAAGCAGGCCCCACAAAAGGCAGCCAGAAGGAGGACGAGCAGCGAACCGCTGCAATGCGAGGGACAGCCCAAACCCCACCAGTTGGAATTGGAGCCCTGAACCACAAAGCCCAGGAGCCCGCTCAGATCCATCATGCTTCAGCCGTACATGAGTTTCAATGCTCAGCCTTACTTTACAAGGCATACTTGCTGTTATCGCGGTCGGGCTGTGGACAATCTTCCGCGGTTTTGTGCCTCATGTCGTAGATCTTCTTTTCCACAGTGAAATCCCAACCCTCACCTTCGGGTGCGATTTCAATGATTTCGGGTCTCAGAAACTGAACCTTCATGGCATTGGGTTTCAAGTAGAACGTCGTAGTTCCGATCCACCTCTCGTAGCGTTCCGGGTGATCTCGAGTCTTGAAGTTATAGGTTTTCTCAACAAAGGCCCTTGGAACCTTCCGAACCATACATACTCGCCTCGGCGTTGTCCTTTAGTCTCCAAATGGGAACCGGACAATGATCAGGTTGCGGCACATAAAGGTGACTTCTGAACTTCTGGTGAATCCTAGTGCAGGTGCCCTTGTGCTCATCGACAACCCAATGATCACGCTTCGTGGCATCGCCCTTGCGGGCGGCTAGCGCATGGCGACTTGCAGTATCGTGCAACGACACACCCGTGAGGGCGGCTGAGGACGAGAGACAGCATGCAGCCGTTTTCTCGGAACTCTTAGCCCTCTTCTTACTGGGGCGCCTGAGCTTCGACGACGCAGATCTCGGCTTTCCGCCTTTGCCACCTTCGCCCTTGGCCGGGACTGACGGACTGGCGTCTTCGTGCATAAACGGACAGTTCTTGCCGCTCTTGCAGGTACCCTTGGGGTAGAAGAGACACGGGATCTTCGATGTGTCGTTTTTGTCTCCGCTTTTCCCGGAGCCTTTACCACTCTTAGAGGGGGGTTCTCGGGGGTGTTCTCCCTCGGGTCTGTTCGGCCTTGACATCTTTGTACGGGCAATTGTCGCCCCTGGGACACTTACCACGTTGGAATGTATAGCACGGCTCGTCCTGGCTTCTGTGTTGGGAGTGTCGGAAGGTGTTGGAGCCCCACATTTGGCCCCATGAGCTTTGGCTATGGCTGTCCTGTTCTTCCTGGTCCGGTCTCTAGCCACAAGCTCTTTGACACACAAACAAGGTACTCGTAGGTATGCTGTTCGGTACCCTCTTAGGCTCGATCATACACTTCAAGGTCGAACTTGAGCTTGCTGGAGTTCCTGAGTTGCCTAAGCGGGATGTCCCTAAGTGTGGTTTCCTCAGGTTGGTGGTTGAGTCCTGCAATCACCGATTCTCAGTTGTGTATGAAGGTGCTCAGATCATCCCCGCTAAGCTGAACCTGGAGAAGATCCTTTCTGAATAAAGCGAGCCCGCTTCCTTGTTGGTCTTAAAGTACTGCTCAAACACATAAGCAAAAGCTGCCTCCCACGGACCGCCCTGTTGGCTGAAGCCTCGGATTCCTTACAATTTATGACCTGACGCCCCAGGTCCCCCTTCGCCACACGCGAAAGCGCCGAGAGGATCTTGGTGTCGAGGGTCAGGAATTTTCCCGTGTCACGGACAAGCTCCATGTCAGCTTTCCTGGCGTAAACCTCCTGAACCCACTTGAACGCCTCGTCGGGCTTGTCAGAAGCTGCTCGCACCGCTGCTCTCACTGTGATTTTTCAGCTACGGTACGTTTCGGGATTCGGGAAATCGGGCAACTTTATCTTTTCGGCTTCTTCTGCTTTCGGCTTGTCGTCGTCATCAGGTTTCTTGATTACTGACTTGAGAGCCTCTGCAAGAATTTCAGTAGCCTCCTTAGGGTTCGCCTGTTCGGCTTGCTCACTCTGCTCAGCAGTTGACGCTCCGGAATTTCCCTGGGGTTAGGCAAAGTGGGGACCCATGGGTTACCCTGACTATGAACACCCGGCGCTGGGGCACCACCTCGGCGGAGCTCTCACTGTGGCCAACTACATTCACCGGCGGGGCACCACCTTGCGGTGGGCTATTCTGCTGTCGTCAAGACAGTCCACAGTGACTTGGCCTCAGTTATAAGCTCCGCGTTGTGATCCTCAACATCAACAATCAAGTTGTCATACTGCTGTTCCTCAGAGGTCAAACGGCAATGACATTCGTTTTCCTCCCATTGCAACGTCTCTTCGAATTCATAACCCAAGTAGTTAATATTAGTTAATCAGTTGCGACCTATTCTCGTCGAAAGAGGTGCGGAGTTCTGCTCGCGACTGTTCGTGCTGTCTGTTTTCTGCTGCGAGCATGCGTGCAAGTGCTTCCGATTCCATGTGTTGTGCACCAAGTTGTGAGGCCGTAGACCTTTCATCACGACATTCCTGTTCCATGTGCGCTAGCTGTCTCTGCAAACTGAGTACCGTCCGTTGTTCAGCAGTTGCGATCTGCTCCAAGACACGAGTCTCGTTGTGGAGGTGTCCAACGAGCACAGCCGTATTTAGGGTACCCGAAAAGGGGCCATAATTTTGACAACTACCCAAATGTTGTCCAACACGAGCTGATGCCTGCGTTCTGCACGAAGCGCGAGAGCGGCCTGCACCCTGGGCTCATTGACGAATACGTTCACCTGCCGGTTTTCCTGGAGTAGCTGTAAGAAGTACTGGTTGGCTGCGGCTTCGTCCCGGTGACCGTCTGTGTTCCCTGCTGCTGCTTGGAACGGTACACTGTCCATTGCCATTGCTGAGAGCTACCTACGGCTGATAACTTGAAGTTTCACAGGTTACAGCTAGGCACGGACCAGATACCGCTAAGTCAACCCTGCGGAGCATTTTATTTGTTGGGGACTTGAGCCCATGTTGGTCGCATAATACAACTGCTAAGGACTGCAAAAGTACATGTGGAGGCAAGGCAAAATCTACAGAAAGCATCCATACGAAAGTGCAACAGCAAGCACCACACATGCAAAATCAAAAAAGCCACGCACGCTTCCTGGCACTGTTCATGAAATTGTCTTTCGGCACAGTCTTTGCGGCGCCTCGCAAGAGCACCCACGCGCAAGCACAGCAGAAAGCCGGTTTCAAGCAAATCTCAGCACAAATACCTTCTTCTTTTACGACTCTTGGCATACGTCCGTGCTAGAACACCATGAGTCAGGAACTCATCCCTGCGACTAGGCAGAGGCTTACGAGCAAGACCTTGGCCCAAGTGCTGCTTCAGGACCCTCAATCCAAGCAGCAGTAGATAAAGGTACGTGCAGACAAAAAGGAAGGAAAGCAAAGGTCTGCGTCGGATAGGATGGCTGCACCCTGCAAACTCACCATGTATCGCAAGCCCAACTCGCCTTCTGTAGATGGAAATCACCTGCGAATCTCTGAAATCTGTACACATATCCCTCTTGTACTTAATCCGGACGAAGCTAGGCCCAACTAGCACCCTGCATAAAGGTTTGCGAACGACAGCGACCGCGACCGAGCCGACGCGCAAGACAGACACTCCAATTTTCAGCGAAAGTCCCGCACTGCCGATCGAGACCCCCTTTGCAGGCAGTCTTTTCGCGGCCGCCTCAGTTGCAGAAGCCACCGCACGCGCTGAAAGCTTTGTGTATATTTTGCGCAAAAGAACCTCTGAAGAGCCGAAACCTAAGTGAAGTAATTATCGATTTAGGTCAGCTGAGCTCTCGGCGTTTGGAAAGGTGGCCAGTAATCAGGTTCCCGGGGATCGTGAGCGGCTGGCCTTCGAAACAGTCGCTACTCTTGGGGCCTTGACAATAATGGCATCTCGACAGCCTCGAGCCTCGGGACGAGAACAGGAATAGTTGTCAACAACTCTGCTGAGTAGAAGGGTTCTTCAAACAACGCGGGATCTTCTGCGGGTTCAAGATAAAGCCTTAAACATTAGCCTTTGGTGTTTTGTAGTATGGTTATAGGAGCCACCCCCAGGAAGAGTCGTAGAAATTGGGATTTCGTCAGGCCGCTGTATTCACTTAAGACTAAGATGACCTTTCTACATGGAATCGTTTGGGTCTTTTGGGCATGGTTGCTCCTCAGCCCCGGTGTAAGCAGCAGTCGAAGGTTCTAGGCCTGCAGAGAAGTCTCCATCTAACCTCGCTGTCTTGTGCTGGCCTTGTGTTTCCCGTCAAAAAACCCAGAAAGATGCATCCGAAAAAAACATGTTGAAGCTCTGAGGAGAAAGAAGAAAAGAGGCGCGTCGCCGTCCCCCTGAACCCCGGGTTGGACCACTGGGCCTGGGGTCATCGTCAGGACAGCGACCTGCAGACGCAGTCCAGAAAATTGGGAGGAGGTTTCCATGAGGCTCCCTTGAAGGGCTCCGCTTGGCGTTGCCGGCTTGAGTAGAACGGGATTTGCGGAAATCTTGTCCAGAACTGCTTGTAGGGACTGTCGGGCGAGGCTACCATCACAAGATTTCCGAACCCATGATATCCCCTCCAGTCGGAGCCCGCTCTGAGGTATCCTAGCATAGTCCTTCATAAAAGGCTTCCGGAGTCTCTGATATCCATAGCTGAACATCGAGACTTAAGGCCTTGAGGTTTAAATATTGTTCATTTCCGCGTCGTTCTGTGTTCATCCCCAGGGATACATGGCTCCTATGAATGCAGCAGCTGTGCGAAGGGGTCGACATGCTGCTGGAACCAGACTCGACCTTCGACTGCGCTGCAGACCACGCCGGAGGAGGGTTAGGGTTCGACGCGGAGCTGCAGCTGGGAGCTCTCAGCGCTTACCACTCCGCTGGGCCCAAGGCTGTTTTGATCTCCTGATTCGTGCCGTACTGGCTGAGCCCATGGACTGGTTGAAGTACCGCCTGGCCAAAGCACACCAGAACCTCCTCGATCTATCGATCCATCGATCTATTTATCTATCCATCCGTCCGTCTGTCTGTCCGTCCGTCTACCTTAACATGTATTACATAAACCTAGAAGTACTCATTCCACCTAGGCAAAAATGACTCGCTCTCTCTCTGCTCTCTCTCTCTCTCTCTCGCTCTCTCTCTCTCTCTCTCTCTCTCTCTCTGTCTCTCTCTGTCTCTCTCTCTCTCTCTCTCTCCCTCTCTCTCTCTAGCAGAAGGAATGCTCCCATCCCAAAATCTCTCACGGGAAAACGGTTCGGAGTTACTGTATCCGGCAATGTCCATGATCAGCTGGCCGGCGAACCTCAGTGGAGGACTTGGACAGGGTTTCGGGCTGGGATGTCAGTGTGAAACTCTCCGCGCCCTGCCCGTACCAAGCGGGTGCCGAGTCGCATCGACAAGAATCCAGCGAACCTGGCGTTGTTCTTCTCTGGTTTAGGCTGGGGTGCTCGGATGCCGAAGATCCCGAGGCTTTCGGTGGCAGCCGAGGAGTTGAAATTATGAGATGTGTGGAGTCATCTCCGAGCTAGCAGTTGCAACTGCAGGTTTCTGTCGTCAAGCAGTTAAGGCTGATCTCCAACTCCGAAGTTCTACTGCCTGTGATATTCCTACGGAGAATGACAATCCCAGAAACAATGAATAGAATCATGACAATAACAATTTTGATAATGTAGTCCCAGACGATCCCTCCCTTCAACCAGGCAAAGTCGGCCGAAGTCGACTGAGCCGCGGAATGCCAGGCGAGCCGGCAGCACGAACTTCCTGGCGAGACTTGCTTAGGGTTTAGGGTTTACGGTTTAGGTGTCTTCGGAGGGATAAGCCCCGGACAGAAGCGACAAGTACCCTCAAAATCCCTTTGGAAAACAACGATACACAAATCCCTGTGTACAAACCCCAAGCTTCCTCGCTCGGCCTCAGCGGAAAGCGCACCGTTGCCCAAGTTCTCGAATGGAAGGCTTGACAGCCTCCGGGGCCCACGGAGTCTTCCTGTGAGGGTTCCTCGCAGGGTGGTCTCTCGCAGGGTTTGGGGCTTTGGGCTGCACTACAGCCTTTAAACCCCTCTGTTTAATGGCCATCACTGGTGACGGCCATTCAACCCTAAATTAGCCAAACCTCCGAACCCCAACCTAAGCCCAAGTGGCTCCGAAACTCCCGCCCATACCCAAGAACTAAACGCAACTCGCTGTTTCACGGCAGCTGGCCTGTCGTCCTTCCATACGAGATCATCCCGTAAACGAAGGAACTCAGCCTCGACGTGAGAGGGGGAGGACGAACCGAATTCTGAAGAAAGACTCCAGACACTCCGGTCACCTTTGAAAGAGCACGCATGCTTCTCCCGAAAAGCCTGCAAACCGTAATCTCAACAACCCGAAGCCCTGAACCCCTAAAGCCGTAATCAAAGCCGAACAGCTCCTAAACCCCTCGAACCCGTATGCTCCGTAACTTGGCTCTTGCTCGCTGAACACCACATGTTTGCTCCTTCTAGGCAACGCATCAGGGTCGTTGTAGGTCCTCAACAAGGAGCAACTACGAGGCTTCACATACCATGGGGGTCCGGGCACTCTGAACTGCGAATCTCCTCGGCATTCCTGAACCTCTCCAAAGGCCCTGCGGATCCACGGCTCCCAAGTCCCAATGTTTGAGCCCAGGCGCCGTATCCGAGAGATCCGTAATCTGTGGATGTGGAGGTGATCTCGCCTGCAGAGGACCAGAAGATCACTGTCGGACTTGAGTCTGTCGTTGCTAGCTGGCGATCTGGCAGTAAGATGCTTGACGTCGCCCTGGCCGCTAGTGCTAGATCTGTTCATTGCCACTATCATCACTTGTTCATGTCGCTGTGGGTGCGATCCTTGCAAATACTGTCGGGCGCTTGATTGTTGAGAAGGACTTAGGGGCTTCCTCGACTGCTTCCTCCTCTGACGGCCCCCATTGCCGGGTTCTCCTGCTGCCTACGCATGCCGCAAGAAGCGAAGAGAAATCCAGAAAGAGCTGCCTTCTAATCTGGTCCGATAGAGGACAAAGCGATTCCACACTATAGTATCACTGCAGGGTAGTATACTCTAACCCCCCAGGCCTAACTACGGCCTGCAGCTACACCTGCCTGCTGCGGACGGGGGGGGTCGGTCCGTCTTTGCCGCTTTGATCGGTAGGGGAATTAGGGGTGGATGATGTATTTTGCTTTTGGCCTCTGCTTCTTGTCATAGAGGAGCCAGGGATTGAGTGAGATTCCTTTACGCTTGGCGTTTGAAGGCTTAAGGCGGCGTCCGGGTCTACGATTTCTGGCTTCAGGGGTCGCAGCACTGGGGTTCTTGTTTATGGCGGTTTAAAGATGTTAAAATACCTACCGTGGACTAGAACAATGAACCTGTCAGCCAATGCAGACGCATCGCTAGTTGGTACAACTGGACGGACTCAGCTGCAACACTGTATAGGCGAGCACGCCTCGAAGGAAGCCTATCGAAAGCCCAGATCTGCCCCCAGAAGCTAGGCAACCCCTGAAGCTCTGCAAAACCCTATCTCGTCACTCTCGCTCTGCCGCTGCTCGGACTGAGCCCCTCGGTTTTGCCAGCATCGGCTGTCTATGCTGCTGGTCTTGCTGCGACCCCGGCTTGGTCTTTGGAATTTCGTAGAGATTAGTAGCATCACGTCTGACATGATGGGGGTCAGTTAGGTGTTTAGGTGGGGTTTAGGGCCACACACTTTGCAGTTACTCAGAAAAAACGAATAAAATCCCACTCAAGAACTTGAGTTTCTGCCTCGCTCCCTCCTCCCTCAAACAAGATGGCTCTCTCCTCTGATCCTCGCTCCCTCCCCCAGCGCTACTGACTACCGTTAGACCGCACTAAACCACTGTCGGCGCAACTAAGACGTGAACGGAAAACCGCACTATCACCGCTAAACAAAGGCGTACACCCAAACCTATCGCCGTTAAACGAAGGCGTGAATCAAAACCTATCGCCGTGAATCGAAGATATGAACCCAAACCTATTTCCGTTAAACGAAGACGAGAACCCAAACCTATCGCCGTTGCACGAAGGCATGAACCCAAACCTATCGCCGTTAAACGAAGAACCCGAACCTATCGCCGTTAAACGAAGAACCCAAACCTATCGCCGTCAAACGAAGGCGCGAACCAAAACCTATCGCCGATAAACGAAGGTGTGAACCCAAAACTATCAAACGAAGGCGTGAACCCAAAACTATCGCCGTTAAACGAAGGCGTGAACCCAAAACTATCGCCGTTAAACGAAGGCGTGAACCCAAAACTATCGCCGTTAAACGAAGGCGTGAACCCAACCTTATCGCCGGTAAACGAAAGCGCAGACCTAAACCCACTGTCGCCGTTTATTGAAGGCGGCAACCGCACCATCCCCAATACAATAGGGATTGAACCCTGTTTGTCTTGGAGCCCGGAAGTCAAACATGTAGGGTTATAGGGTTTTAGGACATAAGGCTTTATACAATGGGTGAACCGAAAATATGCCTTGAGCCTTCCCCAGGACCCCCACGGGCCGACAAGACACGTAAAATGTCTGCGAAGATGGGCAGAAAATAACAAGGCTTGACCCGACGATTGCCTCCACGTGCAATTCGCCACGCCGTGTGCGAGGCGGGTGTGCCGCGCACGGGTGCCTGGATTTGCCCGGGAGGGGTGCCTTCAGGGGCATTTGCTGCACGTGTGGTTCTTACGTCTTCTTGTTGTATTCACGTTATCCAAGCCCTTGGCGAACAAGGCCACGCAGGAAAGCCCTCAACTTCAATCCCAAAACCCTGAGCCCGAAAGCCTAAGTGCCCGACCACGAAGCGACAGTGCGGCCTCGATGTCAAACCACATGGACAGTCGACTTAGAAGACGAGGTTGGTATCAGGAATGTCATTGAGGATGTTAAGTAACTCTTGCCAACTCATGCCAACTCAAGAAAGCCTCCAAGCGTGCTGACGGTGTACGTAAGGCGCTGGGAGGGTATGGTCATCAGGCATTCTTATGTGTTTAGGCGGCAACGGTGAAGCTCTAGAGACCTACCTACCGAGGCACCTCCAGTCTTCCATCCGTTGTATTTAGTGTACTTCACCATTTCGGAGCTACTGTCACGGTTCAGGGTCCTGGCTTCGTAAAAGACTCCAGGGACATGGGCCACGTGAACAAAGTGATTAAAGCACGCCGTAGATTGTGGCCAATGCCGCAAGAGAAAGGCGATGCTTCAGGGGCCGTGAATCGAAGGGGCCCCGCTTGGACGAAGCACCCATGTCATAGGTGCCAGTGCTTCTCAGTGACTTTGCTGGACTTGTGAAGGGTTTGAGATCAGAGGTTCGAGAAAAGAGTCACAAAGGCCTTGGGCATGAACCCCCAAAGACACACATCCAGAAGATGTGATCTCGCCTGATGAAGGCGTGGGTTTAAGAAGTGCGCTCAACCGGGGGGAAGTTAAACAAATTCATGAACATTAGCCGCGATCATCGCATGAGGGGGCCGGCTTGAGAAATGTAATGCACCTCTATCGCCAATGAGGGGGCAAGTTTAACAACGTGTGATCACCGGGGGGGCAGGTTATCCGAACCCTAACATGTTTGTCTGATCTAGGTGTGCTAGTCCCCCGCAGGACCGCCTCAAGGACAAAGCACACTGGCCTGGTCAACGGGCCGGATCGGAGCGATGTCCAAAGCGGCCCAGGAGCTCTCCACATCGCGCACTCGTCACGTTTTGCGGGTCTTGCAGATGTGCACGACACAAGTTTCAGGGCCGGTGCCTGAGGTTGCGCAGGATCTGTGGCTCGGAGTTAGCTGCACTACCACCCACCGGCCTGGCTTGATCCGACTGTTTGGCATGCACCGAAACTGGCCACTGGGACCACCAACTCACAACTTCCACCTGCTAGAACCATTACAACTTGCCCAGCCGTAGATGGGTTACTAAAAGCTTAACTTGTCAACTTTAGAATCTTTGCAAGACCCTTCTAAGACTGCTTTAGAGCCCGCCAAGTAGGGTTGTAATATTGGGCTTCAGCTACAGAGGAGCACCAAGGTAGACTTGGAGAAGCTGCCCGGATGTCTTGTCATCAGCAGCTCGGGTCAAAAAATGTTTCAACCTAAACTGCCTTCCACTCCTAACCGATCGCGGAATGCCGAAAGATGATGCTGAAAACGGACAGGGCCCTGGCTCCCAGGTAGATCTCATTGTCGCCTTTGTCCAGCCACTCCTGGTCACGGCGAGGTGCGGCTGGGAGGATGGAGATAGATCTGGTTATTGCGGGCTTGCAAAAACTCGAGATTCGGTCGGATTGCGGCATTTGCAATGTAGGGACCGCCCAGAAGAAATCACGACTTGCATACACAGAGAAACATGTGAAAGGTGCAAGTAAAATAGCTAGGCAAGCGCATAAACTAAAGACGTTGCAGTGCGGGAGTTGCAAACGCACCTAGAATAGCATGTGTGTCTGTCTGTATATGTATGTATATGTATATATATATATATATATGTTTCTACACACACATATATACACACACATACGTGCATACACATACGTCTTCATGTGTACATGGCTCGAAATGCTTCAGAAGTAGGCAATTAGTGGACAAGAAGCCATAGGCCAAGCCCAACAACGTCCGGCCTGGCAGTAGTCCTTCCAAGCCCTGTCCTGTTCAGGGCAGCTGAGCTTGGCTTGGAGATATGGGTCAAGTTGAACAAGGGACTTCAGAGGCGGGCTAGAGTCGCGACTGTGGCGAAGGAGTAAGTTCATACCCTGTGCCTCTCGGTGGTCGGGTTTATACTGTGGGGTTGAAACGGTGTAGTGGAGTCTTTCTGGAGCACATTCAATGTCCGAAACAGTTCACGATACGCCACGAATCCTGAATTTTAGTTCGGGCCCGATGCACGCAAAAAGCTACCTGCGCCATTCGCAAACCGTCTTGAGAGTCCTTACAATGTCCTTAAGCACTGTGTGCTGCATTCTATAGCAGCAGCCTCCTACTACCCTCAAGGCACTGGTAGCACAGGTCGCCTTGCCCAAAGTGAGCACGGCGCGTGCATCCGGCTTGTGCTGGACGTCCATGCCAGTGGCCTCCGAGGTTGTCAACAAGAATGCAACAAAGCCGTCGCGTCTGCAGATCCGAAAACCCGTGGCTCCACCAAGCCACACTGCAAAAATCCTGAAGAAAAGTAGCAGCAAAACAATTAAGAACAGTTTCTGTCAAGGGGTAAGGGCTTTTGGCGCCGGGGTTCAGCTTCGGTAAAAAGATGGAATCCCAGCGCACGATTCAATGCGCCCGTCACGATCGATCTCTTGGCCCCAAGCTCTGGGACTCTCTCTGCATCCCTCCCTCGCTCGTTTTGCTCTTCCACGCATCCTGAGCAAAGAGCTGCTAGATCCAAAGCCCGGCCCCTGTCCCAGCGGCCCTTCCAAGCGAAGCGCTCGGACAAGGGAATGCCGCAGGCCTCGAGCTTCAACGTGAATTTCCTCGGTTTGACGTGACCCAATGCAGAAATGACCATACCGGAGTGCGCGACTTCCCGACTCAACCATCGGAGTTTCCCATGGCTCATACAGGCGGCGATTGACGGGCACAAGACGCAGACATTGGCGACTCATTGCATGTTAACTGGGGCAGCATGTCACAGTGACATCCACTCCCCCATGATAACATCGGAATTCTACACGAACTTCCGAGTGTCGTCTTGCGAACATGAACCATCTTTGCGTCGGCGTCGTTCAGGAACACAACCTCAGGCTGCTTCAGAAGGCAACGAGAAGGTAAGGCTGTCTGGCGAGGCCCCAGGTCTGGTAGCACAACTACGGAGTCACAAATACTACTACCCATTTGTTGTTATCATCATAAGTCTTCGTCTTATGCTTGTTCTTCTTTTTCTTGTTCTCCTCACTATCATTATCATGTCGAATTAAATCAGTTCCGTAATGGAGCTCTGAGCCTCCAGCTGCCGACTTCTTGAAGTCTTTATGGCCAGCCCCCAAGAACCAACCAAGCACCGTGGTGGGTTTATGGCCTAGGGTTTATTCTTTGGTGCGCCGGCTGAGAAACTAAGCGGCCAAAGCGCTAGGTCGATGGCCTCCCAAGCGAGACCCCAAACCCAACAGCATCAATCAAAAGCCCCAAATGTAAAATCTGCGAGAACCCTACTATGATAGAAAACACTGTTATACGATGCGGGCACAACCCTTACATAACCTTACAGATTCCCATAAAACCTACCAATACTCTAAACCCTTTGAAAACCTAGCAGAAGTAGCAGTACTCAGTAATCCTTAATCTTGCCTCCAGATTGGACATGCCCGTGATCAAGGCCCCAAAGCTCAACACTGCACCGTCCAAACTTGAAAGCTACAGGAAGTATGCTGCTGCCCAGGGCTCCCTCTTGACATGCTGCTGTATGAACGAAAACCGACCGCCCGACTTCAGAGCCGAAAAGATCTGCTATGCAACAGCGCATGACACGGTGTTTGGCGTATGGATGGTTTCAACAGGAAGAATGGACAGCACCTGTGCCCCAGACGTAGCTCAGTGGCTGCGAAGGGTCGGTGTCGTGCCTTTGCCGCAGGCAGCAATCTGAACAAATCGAAGTACCCTACTGATACTTATATCACATATCTGCAGACATGCAGCAGAGGACATCTTCCCACCGCTGCCCTACCGACCTCGACAGGCCAGCACGAAGTGCAAAAGGACTCAGCGCACTGATGCTTTGTCGCTCCTTCTTCCGCTTGCGAATCGATGGTGAACGGCAGTAGATCTGACCTTGTGCGGCTGCCACAGGAATGCCGCAAGATGCACAGAGCGAGGCCAATGACGAGCGCAAAATCAAAGGCCGCAACAAGACTCACCGCCCATGAGCCCTGCACAGCCTGTCAAAGAATTGCTTGTCAGATCGCTTCAGAGATTTGTGCGGCCGACGCAACAACTCGCTCCGACGGATCAGCCGAAACCGCATCGGAATGCAGTGCAAGTGACAAGTGCAGTGCATGATACTCTGATACCCTGAGGACCAACCCTGCCCCCTGGCCGGTGATACCTATGGCTTCGAAGTAGCAGCTGTCCAGCTCCAGAAGCTTGCAGGGCTGCTGCCTGAAGTGCGTGCCAGAGTATCTGCAAGCGTTGACCCAAGAGCTCCAGGTGCGGCGCTCGATGCATCCCCGCAGCTGCAGCTCGCTGCCACAGTCGCCCGTTGGCTGTTCACAGACCTCTCGAACTCTCTGCTGGCATATCGCCTTCCTTGAGCCGCCGCCGAGCCCTGGCCTCCTGGGCAGAGCCCACGAAGCCTTCCGCGCAGGGCGTCATTTTAGCCGTCTGAGCCGAGGAACAGCCCTGCAGCCCTCTGCCTGGTGGTGGCTGGACTGGGTCGTAGCAACCGCCCTCGGGAAATATCCTGTCAGCGAACCCCATCAGCCAACCCAACATTTACCACGACTTTGAAAAAGTGTCTTTTCCGGCACATCACTTGCTTCAAACATTCAGCGAAGTCCTTTCACAAATCGGCGCCGGATCGGTGAGGAACGTAGACATCGCAGCGTCATCACCGGGCCTGGGTCAGGCTGGTAACTGATACTATGACTATGGCAAAGCATAAAACACACGAGTACGACGTTCTTCCGCAAAGGGTAAGACAATCACGTCATGACAGCTTAAGTACTGCTGTGACTGCTTGGCCAAGTGCCCTGTTGGCGTGCCACTGAAGCCGATGCGACATCGCAAATTTGTTCCCAAAGTCGCCTTAGCCTTCTAGGCCACCTCTATCGCCACCCAGAATCGACTCTTAAAGTGTTCCCACAGTAACTCCCGAAATACACACACTAAAACTCCGGAAGACTATGTTGTCGATCACATCAGCACAAACAGACTATAAGGGGATGTACTGCGATTACTAATCATTCCAACCGCTGTGGTACTCTCGTCACGGACAATGCTCTATTTCGCTGCGTCAACGTGTGCTCAAGGGACCTATTTGTAGCCGCATCCCTGAGCCAAACATCAAGAATCGAGACGTGCGGTTTAGCCCAAGGCGATCACCCAGTAACAAGCCACTGCAGGCCTCTGTGGAGCCCAAAATATCCTTCAAACATGATGGGGCTAACAAAAAAATCATTTCGGAAGCATAGAAGAACGAAAGATTCGAGCTTCACTCGGGAGATGCACACCTATAAGGGGCTCCAATTATAAGCCTCTGTGCGGCCGGATGCAAGCGAAGCGGGTGCAACATCTCAGAAAGAGCCAATGCTAATCCAATGAGATAAGTAACGTATCGCAACACCCTGGGACCTGCTGAGGGCAGGATCCGTGAGACTTGAACTCAGCCTTTCTGTCGCAAGCTGGAAAGGTAGATCGAGCTCAGGATTCAACTTCGGCAAGTGCATACACAGAACCACATATCAATATCCGCTGGTCGTAAAGCGACAGCGATAGTCAATACTACAGCGACAATGACGACAAACTTCAACAGTCGCAACAACAGAGGAAACGTCACATCAGTGGCAGAGACAGTAAAACTGTCAGCTCAAATGCTTCGTAACATGTGTAGCACGAACAATCTTATCGTGACAACAGTATTGCTGGTTGTGGTACTATCGACGCATGGAATGAAATCGCCACTATGGCATCAATACCGAAAACATGCACAGCGGAGGAGCACTGAGAGCCGCTGCTTGACGAAGAGCACAGGGAAACGTACCGGTACTAGTGCTATCTTAAGCAACTGGAGAATCCAGCGCCCTGGAAAAGAAAGAACAAATGCATCGTACAACATTGGGCGGCCCCAGGCACGTTGAAACCCGAAACCCCAAACCGTGAACCCTAAACTTAGGCCTAAACTTTGCCTAAACCCTATGCTGAAACCCCAAACCTTCAAACTTAAAGCCTAAACTCCAACCTGTGTTCTTTCTTCTCCCCGGAGACGCTGAAGTGGCTCTTTTTTCGGCAGGATGACGTCTCTTCCATCTGCCTAAGGCCACCTAGATGCCTAAAGCCGACCAAAGAAGTCGGTACCTTTACTACAACCCCTGAATCCTCCACACGATGTTAAACTACATGATAACATGACATAATGATGCCGTATTAAGTTATATACTAAATATTTTATGACATGGTATTATCTGATATTCTGTTATATTCTATGCTTCTATCTTATAGTAACATATCATGTTCTCTTATTTTGCATGTTTCAGCCTGATCTTCAATCCCTATGTAATTTCCTGATACTCCAATCCCCCCGAAACCCTTCTTGGTCACTGGTCAGCTCTGCTGCAGTGCCTGCCGCAGCACCCATACTCAGGTGGCCAAGATCTCAATTTGGTCTTAGGGTTTTGGGTCTTTACACAGGTGCTAGATTCTGCCAGATGTGTTGCTAAAAACGTGGGTCCATGCACTGCTTCGAGCCTTACTTGGAAGCTGTCCCCAAATATCGCGAAGGTTGATCCGGATCTCGGCCAGCGCGCGCAGCCACAGCAGACTCTCGTGCTTCGGCAGCTAGCAGCAGGGAACCTGTCAGTTTGCCAGGGGCTCGGAACACGCGCAAGCTTCCAAGCCGACGCCAAATGTAGATTCGAGGGTCAAACACCTCAAAGCAGCCAATGCACACAATTCGCACGACGCAGATCCCAGCTAGGTGACCTTGCTCTGTGGCATCTCTCTGGCAATCCACAGATCTCACCGGCCGGAAAGCACGTTGCACAGCACAATACTAAGGGGCTTTTGCAAAAACATCAGGACAGGGGACTTACTCGGTCCAGCACACGCTTCCTAGCACCATTCAGGAGAGTGTCTTTCGGCACAGCAGTCTTTGCAATGCCTCTCAAAATGACCCGTACCAAATCAGGAAAATGCCTTGCGCACAACAGTCTGTGCAATGCCTCGCGAAAGCCCCCCTTACCAAAGTGAACCAGCCAGCACCACACGCCCAAAATCAAAAAGTTCCTAGCACCAAGCGGGGAATTGTGTTTCGCACAACAGTCTTTGCAACGCCTCGCAACAGCACCAGTACCAAGCGCACCAGCCGACACCACATGACCAAAATCAAAGTGCAACGCACACTTCCTAGCTCCATTCAGGAAGTTGTCCTTCGCACAACAGTCTTTGCAATGCCTCGCGAAAGCACCCGTACCAAAGTGAACCAGCCAGCACCACACGCCCAAAGTCAAAAGGCCACCCTCACTTCCCAGCACTGTTGAGGAAATTGTCGTTTCGCGCAGCAGTCTCTGCAATGCCTCGCGGAAGCCCCCCCTGCCAAAGTGAACCAGCCAGCACCACACGACGGAAAATCCAAGTGCCACGCACACTTCTTAGCACTATTGGGAAAATTGTGATTCGGCAACAATCTGTCCAATCCTCGCGAAAGCACGCGTACCAAAGTGAAGCAGCCAGCAACACGCCCAAAAAAAATGCCACGCACTCTTCCCAGCACCATTCAGGACATAGTCGCTTGGCACGACAGTCGTTGCAATGCCTCGCGACAACACCCGTACCAAAGTGAGGCAGCCAGCGCCAAACGCCTAAAATCAAGTTGCCACGCGCACTTCCCAGCTCCATTCAGGAGATTGTCTTTCAGCACAATAGTCTTAGCAATGCCTCGCGATAGCACCTCTGCCAAATTGAGCCACCCAGCACCACACACCCAAAATCAAAATGCCACGCACACTTTCTAGCACCGTTCAGAACAGTCTTTGCAACGCCTTGCGAAAGCACCGGCGTCACGTGCACCAGCTAGCACCACAAGCCCAAAATCAAAATGCCACGCACACTTCCTAGCATCATTCAGAGATTTTTCGGCACAACAGTCTTTACAATGTCTCGCAAAAGCCCCCGCTACCAAAGTGAACCAGCCAGCACCACACGCCCAAAATCAGAAGGCCACGCACATTTCATAGCACCAATCGGGAAATTGTCTTTCGGCAACAACACTTCGCGACAGCACCCGTACCAAAGTGAACCAGCCAGCACCCAATTACCTCCTGGCACCATTCAGCAAAACATCTTTCGGCACAGCAGTCTTTGCAATGCCTCGCAAAAACACCCGTACGAAAGTGAACCAGCCAGCACAAATTACCGAATATCAAATGCCACGCACAGTCGTTCGGCACTTGCAATGCCTCGCGGAAGCACCCGTACCAAAGTGCAAAAGCCAGCACCACACGCCCAACAATGGAAATGCCACGCGCACTTACATGCTAGACACCATGCATTTTTCGGCACAACAGTCTTTGCTCGCACGAAACCACCGAACCAAGTGCATCAGCCAGCACCACACGCACCAAAATCAAAATATCACGCACACTTCCTAGCACCAATCAGGAAAGTGTCTTTCGGCACAACAGTCATCGCAATGCTTCGCGAAAGCACCCGTACCAAAGAAAACCAGCCAGTCCCATACGCCCAAATATCCAAGTGCCACACACACTTCCTAGCGGCGTCAGGAAACTGCATCTCGGTACAATAATCTTTGGAATGCCTCGCGAAAGCGCCCGTACCAAAGTGAAACAGCCAGCACCACAAGCCGAAAAAAACAAGTGCCACTCACACTTCCTAGTAGCATGCAGGAAGCTGTCTTTCGGCACAACAATCTTTGCAATGCCTCGCGCACCAAAGTGAAGCAGCCAGCCTACACGCCCAAAATCAAAATGCCACGCACACTTCCTAGCACAAGTCGGGAAATGGTCTTTCGGCACAATAATCTTTGGAATGCCTCGCGAAAGCACCCGTACCAAAGTGCAAAAGCCAGCACCGCATGCCCAAAATCAAGCTGCCACGCACACTTACTAGACACCATGCAGGATCTTGTCGGCACGACAGTCCTTGCAACTCCTTGCGAAGCACCCATACCAAAGGAAACCAGCCAGCACCACGCGCTCACAATCAGAATGCCACGCACACTTCCTAGCACCATTCAGAAAATTGTCTTTCGGCACAGCAGTCTTTGCAATGTCTCGCGAAAGCACCCGTACAAAAGTGAACCGGCCAGCACACATGCCCGAAAAATCAAAGTGCCACGCACACTTCCTTGCACCATTCAAGAAATGGTCTTTCGGAACAGCCGTCTTTGCAACCCTCGCAATAGCACCCGGACCAAATGCACCAGCCAGAACCACACTGTCGAAATCAAAATGCCACGCACACTTCCTAGCACCATTTAGGAAATAGTCTTTCGGCACAATAGTCTTTGCAATGCCTCGCGATAGAACCCACACCAAAGCTCACATCCTGGACCAGCCAGCGCCCTTCGCCCAAACATCAAAATGTCACGGACACCTGCTAGCACCCTCCAGGAAATAGTGTTTCGGCACCGCGCCAGCAAAACAGGTCCAAACTCAAATTGCCCCAGACACTTCCCAGCGAAATAGTCTTTGCAACACCTCGCGAAAGCACCCATCCTCATACCAGGTGCACCAGCCAGCACCACACGCCCAAAAACAAAATGCCAAGCACACTTCCTAGCACAATTCGGGAAATGGTCTTTCGGCACAATAGTCTTTGCAACCTCGCGATAGCACCGATACCAAAGTGCACCAGCCCAGCAC